TCCCTCGAACCCTCGTCGAGAGACTCCCAACAACTATTGAGTCTCAATGTTGATCCGGTGCCCCTCGACTTCGTTGTCGATGTTGAGTCAGTGTCTACTGGTACTAAAAGTATGTACTCCACGTACAGTCCGCGTCATGATAGGTGTTATAGGCAGCGAGGCCACTTTGATCATAAGAGGTCAAAGTGTAGTGTATGTCGACTGAGGCGCACACACACCGTTGTAGGAGGCAATGCGTTAAACAATTCAATGTACACCGGATTCTGTTGCTAAGTGGTGCTAACCTGTCCTAGGCTGCTCACTATGTGCGTGCATGTTAACTCGTGATCCCCGACACGAACCCCGAATCCCCCTTACGCTCCCCCTTTAGGGGCCGTCCATAAATGACGTCACGCGATATTGAACGATTTTTGACCCCCTCCCTCGCCACACGGCTTCACAAAAAGTCAGACCCCCTTCAAATATGACGCCACAAAGCTCTGCCTCCCCCAAAACCATATTTCCATTTTGAAAATAAAACATGCTTCAAATCGCTTTAAACTATTGTCATTGTAGTGCTAAATTAATGTGGCACTGCACTCTGATGTAGTAGGAGAAAACACATTAAAAATTAGGCGTTTGGAAGCTTAAATTTAGCATAAAATTCACTTGAAAATATTCAACGACTAACTAAAACTGCAGATGTTTAGAATATTATGTTGAAATTATCTTATAATTACAAAATATTAAAAGTAATTATAACTGTTAAAAAAACTTGAAACTTTGAAGTAGAACGAAGCAAAGTGGAGAGTACAATTATAACAATCATATATTCATTCCACAGTATGAAAAGCCCTGGTAGAATCATTAAAATCAATATGTTGACTAACAATCATTTAAAAAAATGTTGAAAATGTATGCTTCTCCATTCTCCTATGGAGAAGCAAAATGCTCCTTCATGGAATAAATAAAAGGTGACCTTAGCAAATTTAAATAATCAAATAGTTAATAATGAAAATTAATCAAAATGAGTGTTATTATAACAATTCTATGTTTATTTAAAGTTGTGCATTTTGATGTGACGTCACATTTATCAACCCCCCTCTCCCCCCCTCGTCGCACATCGTCACAAATCATCACAAATGGCTGACCCCCCTCCCCTAAGTGTGTGACGTCATTTATGGACGGCCATTTATCGCTTTGCCCCCGCCCCTCCCCTTGCTGTATCAAGCCGGCGCTCCCCGCTTCCTGTCACGTGTCCTTAACTTCTCCAATCGAGGCACCGCTTCAGGTCACGTGGCTCTTGACTCCTCCAATCGAGGCCCACTTCTGGTCACGTGGCCTCAACTCCTCCAAGCGAGTCTCATTTCCGGTCACGTGCCCTTAGCTCGTCCAATCGAGGCACCGCTTTTGGCCACGTGCCCTTAACTCGTCCAATCGGGCACCACTTTCGGTCCAATGCCCTTAGCTCATCCAATCGAGGCCCTCTCCCGGTCACGTGCCCTTAGCGCGTCCAATCGGGGCACCCGGCGCCTCTCCAGCAAAGCAGCTGGCACGACCCACAGAGACATTTAACTGTCTACACTCACAGTAGAGGCTGTAGTCACGACACTACAAAAGTAACAATATCACCTGTTGTACAGTACTTATATCGCCACACGTATGCACTCCCCACCCTCACCCCACCCACACTCACCAAGGTGAGGCGTGCTCTAGTACCCCCCACGTCTACACTCCTCACCCCAACCACACTCACCAAGGTGAGGCGTGCTGTAGTTTCCCACATCTACACCCCCCACCCTCACCCCACCCACACTCACCAAGGTGTCCAATTCACTTTTTAACTTGAATAACTGCTATTATTTTCGATAAATGTTGCTTAGGAAACCGCATTGCCAGCATGGTGAGGTATGGACGAAGAACTCCACTATTCGCACAGCATGGGAAGGCCCTCATCCAGAAGTGGACAGTTAAAAGGGCTTGAACACAGTAGACGGGGCAAGTCCGGGCCTTTGCCCAGTAACATCTGTGAGTGTTGTTTCAAAGGACATTGTCTGCAGTGATTGAGGACCTGCTGAGGCATTTAAACCAGCGGCAAGGTTCACATCACACAGTTACCATGCCCAGTCGTCTGATTTATTTCTATTGCGGTGCTCGTTGCCAATCCCTGCTGCCGGCTCCCTTACCGGAGCCCCCATCCCACAATGCCGGGACATCTCTTGGGATCATGATGTGGACGACACGTTCAGCTGTTGATGGCCACAGACAGGTGGCAGCACATGGCCCTTCGCAGCCGCATGACTGACGGCTTGCGAGATTACGACTGCTGCCCTGACTCATGATGCGTGCACAATTATTTATCCATAATACACGAACGCGTACAGCAGGAGACAGGGGACAGCACTACCGACAGGAGTACAACACCCACGTCGTGCTGTGTGGGACTCTCACCAAGCTCAAGGATTGTTGTATCAAGATGTACCATCAGCCATGACCTATCCCCTGCAACATGCACACCTCCCCAATCCGTCACCATAAATCATGGTCTTGTGATGCCATAATCTATACAGGTCCCGCACATGACCCAATTCATTGTTCTGTGGCCACGGTGGACATCTTCTCAGGCGTCATTTAGCTGCCATGCCATCATTAGTCTCATCCACTGGCCATAATCCCCTCCAGTAACGTGTCCTGCACAAGTCCACTTCTCTTAAGTCAATGGCTTTCTCTAATTGCCCAATATTGATCTGTTCTCGTGGTGGTCGCGTGGAATGTCCTCCTGGTCCTCCGATTTTACCCTCCGCATTTAGAAACACGCATGTACATTATTTATAAACACTCGTGTACATTATTTTAAAAAATCCGGCTATACATTATTTAGAAACACGTGTACCTTATGTAGAAACACGTGTACATTATAGAGAAACACGTATGTACAGTATGTAGAAATACGTGTACATTATGTAGAAACACGCATGTAGATTCAGTAGAAACACGTGACATATAGAAACACTCATGCACATTAAGAAGAAACACGTGTATATTATGTAGAAACACACGTGTACATTATGCAGAGACAAACGTATACATTATTTAGAAACACACGTGTTCATTGTTTAAAATATACGGGTATACATTATTTGGAAACACATGTACATTATGTAGAAACACGGGTACATTGTCGAAACACGCGTGTACATTATGTAGAAACACGTGTACATTATGTCGAAACACACGTGTACATTATTTAGACACGTGTACATTATGTAGAAACACACGTGTACATTATTTGGAAACACGTGTACATTATTTAGAATATACGGGTATACATTATTTGGAAACATGTACATTATGTAGAAACACTCGTGTACATTATGTAGAACCACATGTGTACATTATGTAGAAACACGCATGTACATTATTTTGAAACGTGTGTACATTATTTTGAAACACGTGTACATTATTTGGCAGCTATAGATTGCTATAAAGGGTTTTAAACCACTTCGATGAGCTATCATGTGTAAGGTGGTCGCCTCTAACACGTTCCTTCGGAGTGGGCAGGTAGGAACTTGGTTGGACAGCGCATTCGTGCACGACAGACAAATATGCACGACAGACAGACAAATAATCCCTGGTGGGCAGTGTGGAACCTGATGTTCCTACCTATATAAACAAGCTCCTAGCTCAGATTAAATTACATGTTGAATAATATAGATGAGTTGAGTCTCCTTCACAACCCACACTGACCAGTGCAATGAAGTATAGTCAAAATCCCAATGACAACATGGCATATGGGAGGCCTTCATCAAGCAGTGAATTGTATAACACGCGTGGAACACGACTGTGGCTTCTTTCTCACAAACTACACAATTTAGCATGACACCACAGAAGGCATCTCCAGTCCATGTTGATCATGGGGGTTGTTTGACTATACTGTACTTCACCTCGCTGGTCAACGTGGGTTGTTTAAGGAATGATGGAGGGCAGACCAGGGTTAGATATTACACGCTATGGCTACGCACCTGTACACAGGTACATGAGGAAGATCATAAAGCTACAGTGTGTTTGTACTCACACACACACACCTGTATGCAGGTAGATAAGGGAGATCATGCAGCTTCACTGTGTATCTGTACCCACACATCTGTACATAGGTACACAATGTCCCGTTGTGACTCATCGCCAATGTTGATTCACAGAAAGGGCGTCCGAGATTGAGCAGCATCACTTCCTCACGGTGCTACAACTCTACATTGCCGATCAAACGCGTCGGAGCGTGAGGAAGTTCACGCGCGGTGCTACTGCAGGGGTAATGGCACCGCTAGGTAGGAGACGGTGCCGCAGTCCTAGCGGCTGTGTGAGCTGGGGGCCGCTCCCTCGCGCTGGGGCTGCTGCTGGCGCTGGGTGAGGGGAGGGGTCAAGCAGCGGGACCCCAACCTGGCGGAGATTTCAGTGCAGAGCTCGAGGAGATTGAGGCCGCTGGCCCCCGAGGTCTCTCCCTGCTGCGCGCCGACTGCAGGGGTCCCGCTGTTTCCCGACCCCTCGCTGTTATGCGAACAGCTGCTGCCGCCGCTGGGCTCATCGCTCGCGGAGTAAGGGCTGTCGCCCGACGGTTCCCCTCCCTGGGTCGCACCTCCGCGGGTTCGCGAGAGAGGCATGGCTCGTCGCCGGCTCCCATACGCCTGTAAACACTGCGTTGCCTCCCCGCCAATCAAACGCGACGCCTCCCCTCACACAGCCCCGTGCAGCAATCACACGCTCTGAACGGGGGGTCAGGGGTCGGAGGGCGAATGACGTTGCTCGCACGCGCGGCCGCCGCGAGCGGGTGATAACGCTCGTTTAAAGGGGCCGTGGAATAGGTATTTACGGTGGATGTGAGCCCTCACACAGCACAAGTCTCCACGGTGACAGAACGGAGCGTGCAACCTTGGAAACACCGAAAACCCCCATTACGAGCGCACACACACACACAGCACCACGCGCTTTCACCCGCTTGTCCAAACCACACAAGGCTGCGGTGGGTTATTAATGATTTATTCTCGGCCGACTGGGATTCACTGTTGGGTCAGTAGAGATCGGCAAGGCAGGCCTATACTATCGCCCAAGGGTCTGTACCCGATTTATCTAATTTGATAGGCTCTCAGCAGGTTTGGTTTTTCTAGCCTCAATCCCAATACTCTTTTACCTCTTACTCATGGTTAGATGCGCACGGCGCTCCGTTGGTCTCGTCCTCGCCGCTCACCTCGACGCGTCACACGGACGTTTGAGTGGCCGAGCTGGAGACCGTCCCGAGGGCTGACTTTTGGAGCAAGAGAACGCTTTACCCCTATGTGCCCTCCCTTTTTCCTTAACCTACATCAAAAAACTCCGACCCGATGGGCGAAACCCGTCCACCATATCACCACAGATTAATCATGTTTTATTGTATTTGCATACACATTGAATGTACATTTACATGTAACATCTGCATGTGTCATAATATATTGGAATATCTATTACATAAGTGGCTTCATTCAAATGAAAGCGCAATCACGCGGTGGTGATGTTATTTCCCTCGGCTGGTATGCAGGAGTGCATGGATTCGATCCTGATCCTGACAGAAATTGTATGTAGTCCCTGCGGTCATGTGGATAATTATATGAGGACTACGGTATGGCCCTTCATATTTAGAAACGTGCATTGAGATTATGTGGCTGCTACGATGCGTGGCTAGATCAACTCTGAAAAGAAGGCAATAGCTCCGCGGGCTTTACCTGGTAAATAAAAGTTTAGTTTAAAAACTGAGAGAATTGTGCAAATAAAGCTACATAGCAATGCTTAAGTAATTAATATTAAGCAATGGCTGTTAAGTGATTAATATTAACTAGCCTTTTGCCCGTCAAAGGACGGGTGTATTGCAGTAAATCTGGAACTTGCAAGTGAAAAGCAGACCGCGACGTGATATTCTTTCCATAAATTCGTGTGTATTTTGTACGGCCGCGGTGACACAGAATTATTTCATTTAAAGGTTATAAATCCTTGTTCATCATGACGCCCTTTTTACTTCTATGTCTCAACAGCGTTACGGAGATTGCGTGACGTGAGGGTTCTGCCTTTGGAGTGAGGGTTATAAGTTAACGCTGAAGAGGGGGGAGGAGGCGCCTTGCCCCCCCATATGGAGTGACGTCACCCGCTAATTATTATTAATGGAGGGGGGGGGGTGTCCATTTGGAGGACGTCACCTGTTCATGATTATTAATGAGGGGGGCTGTTCGATGTGGAGTGACATTAACTGCTCATGATTATTAATGAGGGGGGCTGGTCCATGTGGAGTGACGTCACACGCGGGACACATTCTTGGCTCATTATAGTAGCAAATAGTTATTAAGCGTGGTCAACAAGAATTAGTGTCATTCACTCTGAGTATGCGTTCCTCCGATAACGCCGTCTGTGCCCGTCCTTGAGGGTGCGCCGCGGTGCCTGCGTCGTGATGGTCTTGGCACTCGGCGGAGAATGTCTTTAAACACATGACGCCTTTTCCGAGCTGAAAAACGGAGATGTACTTGTTGTTAATGAATTACAGCACATCCAGACGTGTCGTGCATTTGAAGACTGGTTGGAGACAATGGTGTGCACTCGAATATGGGTTGTGAGCAGGAAGTATCAGCCAAAATGTTGACATTTTATTTCCACTGCATAACTTCAAAATGCTATTATAATAAAAATGATGGCAGTTTTGTTTTGCAGAAAATAACTGCAATGTCCTCCATGCACATAGGGAAAGCTGAGTATTAAGACGTTTTTAGAAAAGTCCTGCATTTTTATGTTTAGCCAATTCTGTTAATGTCTGTTTAACATTTGAGAAGCACCAAAATACCTGCAGATAACCCATACATACAGGGAAGTAATGCCTAAAGCTCTGCACAGTTGGATTTAACTGTCTATTGATGTACTGCTATCTCCTAATCACCTTACAACCCAAGTCTACATCATCTGGCATATTTCCAGGTAGTCTCCCACCAGAATACTAACCAGGCTCCAGCCTGTTAAACGTCTGAGATCCGATGAGATTGGGTGCATTCAGAGTGACTTGATCGTAGACATTTAAATCAGATACGGCTGTTACTGCACATGCATGACTTGAAGAGCCTCTGCCACATCACACAGCAACATTACTCCACGCGGCGTAGGTCAAGGATGCAATGTCGGTGCGGTAAATGCACGCTTAATAATTTGTGAAACGCACAATGTATGACTGCACCACGCTTGCACACCCATGGGAAATAAAACAGTTACATATATCTACAATGCAGCAATAACTTTCCAGCATAGCCTATGTCGTGTTACGTATTTCCACTGCTCTCAATAGGTAATGTGGGCATGCTCTCCAATGGGCACAGCTATCGCTAGCCATGCCTGTCTTGGAGATGGGGTTATACGGTTGGTCATATTCCTTTAGATTGGTGGTTGTCAAACTGTTGTACAGCATGAGTAATATGAGCTATGAACAATTATGCCAATGCTGTGAAAGTCATTATGAAGTACAATTCATTCAAAATACTTAACCATTTGTTGGAATGAAACATTTAGAATTCCAGTTATTAAAATACATAATTGGGATGAAATGTGTTAATTTTACAAATGGGAAATTACACAAATGATCCCTTGCACGAGGAAGCTCAACTGTGCACCCTGCAGTCATGACTGATAACTCATTGCCAGAACACAGCAGGGCATCCCTCATGCCAGCACCTCTGTTGAGAGTGCACTGCTGGTGTCAGCATGGTGCCGTGATGTATCTCATGCTTTGTTCTGTGGATGAGCGGGTTGCTGCTGCTGCTGCTATAAGCGTACACGGTCACTAGAAGATGTCTACCACCGTTCGGGTGAAGTCTGAAACTCAAAAATGGTCACGCTTTGCACAAGCTGTTCGAGATAATCTGTTCTGAGCTGGCTTGGAAGGTATGCATTGTTTTAGCTCTGGTGTCATATTCAGTTAAATATATCAGGATATATTTATCATAAACACCATTTTTTTAACTAGATATGTTTAGCCAACCTACCTGTGGCCAGTGGCAGCAAAAATGTATGCTGGAGCCATGGCAGGTACCCCCCACAATGAGGCACTGCCCCTATGAAAGAGCTGCCCCTTAGGGTTCCTGTCCGGTAACCCGTTAAAAAGTCCCCAAAAATAACTTATTCGAAATACGCACTTACGTCTTTCAATATCGTCATTATCAGCCACGATCAATCCACTGCTGGATGAAGACCTCCCTACGCCATTTATATATCACATTCCATCAATAAAACATTCACTTAACATCCACGCATGCTGATTTCATGTTCACGCCTGATAGCAATGAGACTGTATCTTCTTGGTTCTTTCGGTAAAGTCACGTAGAAGGGAAGTAATAAAATAATAAAAATAAAACATAATAAAATTATTCTCACGACGTTTCGGCCACAACGCAAGCAGGTGAAAACCAGGTCCGTCGATGCGACAGAGTCAGACTCTGTCGCCTCGACGGAACTGGTTTTCACCTGAGGACGGCTGCTTGCGTTGTGGCCGAAACGTCGTGAGAATAATTTTATTATGTTTTATTTTTATTATTTTATTACTTCCCTTCTACGTGACTTTACCGAAAGAACCAAGAAGATGAATCCCTGCAGTCACGAAAGCTTTAAATCAAAATGAGACTGTATTTGAGGAGATAGCATGTTTGCAAAAAATAGTCCCTTTTGGTCAACCTGGATCAGTGGCTTTTGTCATACAGTTTTCTGGGCTAAACGTATTTGGAACATGCATTGCCATGTCATTCATACTAAGGATAGTTTTTTGGTAGATCTTTTGGACATTAAATACATCAAAATCTGCTCAAATGCATTTAGCTTAGACAAAATAGATAAGCAAACAGTACGCTTCATATATCCGTCTCTCTACTTAAACAAAGTCTTACACAACACATAAGCCACGTGACATTCTGGGAGTACAGCACCGATTAAGTTAAAGCAAACTCTGAACTTGGTTTGACATACAGTGTCGTCAATAAAGTGAGACTTGCTTCAATCAGTGCTTGTGAACTGCTACATTTTATAGGTAAGAAACCCCTCTTTAAGAAATTGATCCTATAGTTTGACGCAATCATTTGCAGTGTGAAGAATACAGAGATAAAACTAGATGAAAAAAAGTATTTTTTAAGTGGAAACATATATGAAGGAGACATTATCTGCTCATCTATTTTCTACTTATATTATCCGCAACGATGTGAATGATTATGCTTGGAATAACACTGACACAGGAACACGTGGATCAGAGAACAAATACAAATTATAGACACTGGACGAGACTGGTGACAGAACAGCAGCCAAAGGAGATAACCTTGCTGAGAGTATTGAGTGATATCAGGTCATATGCAGGAGCGTGGAAGATTGTGGCATCACAAGACCATGTGGGATGGTGACGGCGTGGAAAAGTTAATTCATCCAGCAGTGTAGAGATTATGGCTCTTGATGAAGGTGGTAATCTAATTATTAGGCCTCCCCACGCCATTGCCATTGGGAAGCAGCCTGTCTGGTGAAGCCCGATGACACCAGTGGGTCCGGCGCATGACTGCTGGGCTGTGTTCTTGTCACTGAGCCAGTTCACAGAGTCATGCAGCTACATTATCAGAGCCGACTGAAGAATTATCAAAGTATAGACTACATCATATCATCAAGAATATTTTCTGGAGGTGTCATAGTTCTAATCACTTGCAACAACCTGATACCTAATTAACAATTGTTATCCAATTTCCCTTTAGACAACATAGAGGCTGTGGTAATGTGTTCCGTAACTGCAATAAAAATGGCTTAAAGGCTAGTGAACAGTGCAGCTAGAGCATGCGAAATACCTTTAATTTCTTCAGGTTCTGGAAACGTATCTTCATTTTCATGATGTGCTTGAACTGAAATGGCAAAAAAAATGAACTGAGTATTTCTCCCCGCTTGACTCATTATTTGTATTTTTACTGCTTTCTTCATGCATTTTAAAAGTAGCGAATCGTTATTTATAAATGGATTTGATCATTTCTATATATAGACTTATTAAGGCCTTATTATGTAAATGCATAAAGTCAGTCACTATAAATGAATATTTTGCATAATTAGAGTAAGGTAGGAACAGGAATGGGGAAGTATTGACCATCTCAGATTGGCTAATGACATGTGAGGTTCATTCCACTCAGGGTGTGCGGTGATTTCATTACGAGTTAAGAAATGAGAGAAACGCAATTTGCTTTGTGCCAAATCGAGGTTGGGTCCCTGGTACCCACCACCGCATATCCTCTCCCCGACTGAAACGCAGGCGGTGGTGGTGCACTCCCAAGAGGGAGGCACCGTGGCCTCCTCCACGCCAGTACGGCAGCTCGCACGGGCGAGCGTGCGCGCTGCTCCTTTGCTCCCCACAACATTGCAGCCCTCGCACACCCTGCTTACTAGGAGAATTCATTGCCATCTTGGTGTTCCCTAAGGTAAACTTCTCCTTGAAAGGAGCTCACCATAAGGACACAGAAGACATGAAAGCAATATGATGAGGCAACTGAGAGACTTGGGCTGGGAGCTGCCAGCACGGAGCCTGGAAGCTACGCGACGGCTGGAAGTAATGCCTGTGTAGTGACATAGAATGGTTCGCTACGGCGCATAGCGCTGGTTACTGACAAAGAGGGGAATTGTGGGTGCAGCAGAGCATGCAATGTCATGGAATGGGTCACTAGGGTGAGTAGCGCTGGTTGCTGGCAGAGATGGGCATCTGAGGACGTAACAGCCCGGTCGGCTAACAGGACACGTGATAGGCCGAGGTAAGGGATGTAAGGCAAAGGTGACAGAGGGGACACGTGGGGTATAGCCCAGAACCTTCTGGTAGTTTCCAGAAGGGGGTGTGGCCGAGGGCGGAGCCAGGCCACGCTGTGGGGCATAAAAGGGAGGTCCCGAGGCAGGATTGAGGCTGTCGTTTGGAATGGAACCCGCCGTGCTACGTCTTTGTCTTCGTCTCCTCGGCGTCGTGGGTCAGGCGTCATGGGTCAGGCAGCGTGCCGGCTGTCCTGACCCATCTGTAGTTATCCCGTGTGTGAACAGAAGTGTTTAAGTGTATAATAAAAGTATGTGCCTCCTATTATTAGGGTCTCTGAAGTGACTCACTACACATGAGTGGGGGAGGAGACTGCTTTGAAGGAGATCCACATGAGCAACTCATAGCTCAACTAGTTTGAACAACAACCATATATTACGTGACATTATGACTGGACGTCAGTCATGATAACCAATTAAAATAATTACAGGACATTGTTGAATACAAAGAGTGAAGGCTGTAAAAAGGTAAACATGCATAAAATCAGTCATACAACACGTTCACTCAAAAAAAGATAACTGTTGAAAAGGCAAGATTAAAAACTACAACCATGCATCTCTCGACTTTTTGCCAAGCAGTGCGCAGATGGTGATCTGGAAGTTAAATATCCCCTGACCTATACCTAAATTGGCCAATATGGGAGCATGGTGGTGTGTATACATCCTTCCGGCAGAGATGACAACAGGCAGAACAAGTATCACTTACGCGATGTGAAAGTTAAATCCATCATCAGTGTATAAATGTCCATCATCACTTCCAAAAGTCCGTTTTCCACAGCGTCACTTTGTAGGCACTTTTGCATTTCCTTTAACAGTTCTGAAAATGGGAATAGAGCGTGGTTATGCAATGTGCTCTTGGTAAAGGATAAAATATCTAATTCCCATTATAACATTTTTGGGTTAGGCCACAATGATGTGACCAAATCTGTTATATGAACCGTCCATCACCAGATACTGCCAAATAAATTACTCATCACTTGTACAAGTGTTTAACACATAAATCATTATTGTTTCAACTCACCGATAAGTTGAAAAAAAATACTTCCAACCAAATTTAGCGATTCGATATGATATTTTATTTTAAACTATGTCCAACATCATCAATACAAGATCCAGGAAGTATCACAACAATCCAGGGAGTTAAGAGTAACTGTGCCACCTCATCTGGTTTCTTCGATAAGTGTTATGGCTTGATTGGAAGCTTTCGTGATTGCAGGACTCCATACTCTTTGGTTCTTTCGGTAAAGTCACGTAGGTATAAAATAAAATAAATCACGACGTTTTGGGCGCAACACAAGCGTCCGTCATCAGGTGGGAAAGCATAGTCTGCTGCTGAGGCAGACTGTTTTAAAAGGTTTGAATTGGGTGTAGCTCAAGGGTTATAAAGAAGTGGCTGTGGCTAGTGATGTTAATGTGAGAAATTAGCATGTAACTGTAAGATAGGAGAGCGGCCTCCTAGACAAGGGCACGGAAGTGGCTATGTTAATGTGAGGGATTATCATGATGTTAAAGTGAGAAATTATGACTTCCTGGATTGTTATCTTGACTTCCTGCATCGTCAAGTTGATGTTTGAAGCAGTTTCAAATGAAACATTGTATCTAATTGCTAAATTTGGTAGTGAGGATTGTTGGTCAATTCACCAGTGAGTTGTAACAATAATAATTGACACCTTAAAGCTTATACACGTGACAATGCAATTCCTTTGGCTGTGTTAGGAGGTGATGTGTCTTAACAACACACATTTCATAATATAGGTTTTTGGGTCAGATCGCGTTATTTATAAATGTGTCATAACCCTCCACCACCCAACACATTTGTTCAGATCATTATATGGCCTAACACAAAAATAGAGTATTAATCGTCGTGTTGCCTACACCAATTTAAGTATTAAGATAAAACATCTAGTTTAGTAATTCTACACTTGATATACTTACATTTAATGCAGATATTTTTAATAGTGTAAAACGTGCATTGTATATTGAATTCCCCTGAGGATACGTCTAAGTGCTCGAAAGAGCTAAGCATTGCACTGGCGAGTTAAGTATAACAACACCAAATAGAAAGGGGTTAGGGTGATTAAACAACCAATGGGCATCTTGTACTAATTTACTTGCGCAGCTTAGTGAACTGGTTTTCAAGGCATGGCTGTCACACGATGCCAGAGGCATCAACAGATACACTGGGGCCTGACGTTTGGCTGCAATGAAATGTAGAAAAATATCCAAAGTGATATTGATAAACAAAAATAATTGTACAGCACAGAGGCTGGGTGCATTCCTGGAATGGTTTGTGGATGGCTTTTCTGTAACAGTTAACTACCCATCAGTATGATTGCTGTACGTGCCACGCCCTGCTGGAGAGACCCTTTTAAGTTGATTCCAGTCTAGGAGCTGCCTTTCTAAAACGTCTAATTTGACAAATTTGTAAATATAGGAAATATTGGTACACACCTGGTCCCCCTGCACGAAGAAAAGCCGCTTTGGCAAGAAGTCTCTTCTCCACTGAAAGGACGGCATTCAACTTGTTCCATATAGTTTGCAGGGTCTTTACCGTAGAATGGTCAAAGCTGTAAATAAATGCCACCCCGCAATGTTATTACCACCATGATGATTCCAAATAGCTTATTCTGCCTGACACACATGACCATTCCCATTAACACATATGAACAATACATGTTGGTTTAAATCAATACTGTAAATGCTAAAGCGAATGAAAATTATTAATGTGAAATAGAATGTGTTGCAATTCCTCTCTTGGAGATGATTTGCGCAATAGCTCAAGTTTACATGAAACGACTGCTTTAGGCGTGCATTCTAAGAAGTATAGTCAACGACTAAATGACACAACAATTAAACTTGCACCTATTGATGCACACAGCGTGCTGCGGATTGCCACTCAGGCTCTCTCTGTTTAGAGCTGCAGGAGTCGTGTACACCATGCACAGGATGTCGCCTGCCTACACGCCTCCCATGGGCACATATCTAATGCTGCTTTCTTCAAAAGGAATAAGCGATTTCATTACTAGTTACAAGGTCTCAGTTGCATCCAGATTACGAAGCCAGCTAGTTTACGATGGAAGTATCTGAATTTGTGCTGAATAGCTCTAGATTTGGATCACTGAGCACATTTGTAAATTATGGATGGCATAAGTCACTTGATTTCAAAGGATAGTGATGCCCTAGAGTTCACCACAATGAAGCAAAAACTATTTTAGACCCATACAGCTGTTGTACATTTTTCCGTGGGTCATGTTGGGTGTTCAATCTGTGTGTCTGCCTGATGCCAAGCCAGACCCTGCCGGCATCCCTCGATGTCTGTGACGAACCATGAGGTGGTCGACTCCTCACCTGGAAAGAGTCGTCAGCGGAATTAAATCTGTGTAAATGTCTTCAATCTCTTTCTCTAGTTTTGCACCTGTGAAAAACAAAACACACACTGTCATGTTTAACCACCAGCACAGACGACAGAGTTCATTTATGAAGAAAATATTATCCCATGGAGTCATGTTATTTTAAAAGAGAACTTATATATATTCCGTGCATAGTGACACAAGCGACATCTTGATGGTGTAGCTTTCAAGTGAAATAAGATAAAGTGCTAATGTTGAGTTTCATCTAAAGTACACCATCATAAACACTAATATAACATCACAACATCTACATAAACAATGATTTGACATACCAAGAACCAATAATATCAACAATAATGACGTATGAACATCAACAACAATATGATCATTGTTCATATCAAGATCAACAATATATCAACATCAACAATTACCTATCAACAACAATATTAATGTCAATATCATCAACACCACAAATATAATTCTTAGCACCAGCTATTCATCTATTTTACACAATAATATCCACAATATAACCACACTCTTAATAACTGCAAATACAACTGCAATCATAATAGCCACATTATAACTAAAACAACTTTAACAGTCGCAGTATAAGCACAACCATATCAACATCTGCATGACAACCACAAACAACATTCTAACCCAAGACAAAAACAAAGATTCCACTTTTTAAGCCCACACAGACTGTTGGGGCAAGTGCAGTTAGCGAGCACCTATTAAGGTCATGACGGCACACGAGGGAGTGAGATGACCAACACCACGCCCTGCTACCTCTTTCTCCATAGTGGCCATGCTTACACATAGCACCAGGTACGTATTTGAGGCTGAGTCGACCTAGAAGAGGCCCAGAACTAATTTAAGATAATCATCATTGGTGTTTGATCATAAGTGGGAATCGAACTCAGGTGGTCAGGTTTACAGCGCAGCATGCTAATCGCTACACTACTGCTCCCCGCACCTTCTAATCGCAATCATAACCACAAGCATAACCGCAACATTACAACAGCAGAATATAATCACAACCACAATTTAACCACGACAGGCACATTATAAACAGATCCACATTATATTCACAAAACCACAATATAACCACAATCAAAGCCATGACACATCCACATTATACCTACAACCATAACACATTAAAACCACAACCATAACTAACACATCATAACCACAATAGGCGCAAACCACAACCCAACATAACCAAACCATAACCCCATTATAACCACAACCACACTACAACCACATCCATAGTAGCAAGTTAATTCAAGATTGTATATATTTCTTATGTATATTCACACAACTTTTACACAATTTCCAGGGAATGTCCTCGGCAAGAGATTTTTTTTTCAGTTGTATGCCAGACAGATGGGTGGACATATGCGAACAAAATGTATAAATCATAATTTTGGATATTTTTAGGTTCAAACATAAGTATGAGGTAAGTAAGTGCAGATGTGCAAGTCTTGTTGGTAAGGAAAATAAACTTCGTGACAAACTACATTACATAAACATAATTATGTAGTCTAGCATAGTTTGAAACAAGACTGATTGGTCTGTCATAATGAATCATCATTGGCACTGCCAAAAATGACATTACCAGAACTCATGGTAACACGACTGGTGAGCTGCCCTGTCAAATGAAGGCCGTGTTCGTGCAGACCCACTTAGCAGAGTACATAATGTGTAGTCGTAGCACAGGTACTCACTATCGTCCACAGTGTAAGTCATCAGCATTTGGAACATGATCTCAGTGACGATTCGGAGAGGGATCTCAGAGTCATCTTGGGTGGGAGTGTCCTGGATCTTCTTGAGCAGCTCTAGGAAACACATGTGGCTCTTGTAAGGCGGTGAACACTGCAACATGCTCGTATTACAGGCGCACAGCAGTAACGATAATTGAATGCGTTTGTATGAACGAGTATAATATGCAGACGGTATGTAGAAATTCATCTCCGTGGAATGTGAATGTCAGGGTCATAATGTGATCCAATAATCGAACTGTCTAATTATTACAATCTTGTTTTATTTTCTTCGTTTTGCTTAACTTGTTGTACAAGTCGAAAGGCAGTTTAGCATATAATTTGCATGTCATTTACATACTAGGTTTAAAATATTGTATGCATATTTTGCGAGCATGAGAAATAACATGTCCTCATGAACTGAAGAAGCGATAGATGAAGTGATAGATAAAGCGATTTATGAAGCGATAGATGAAGCAATAAATGAAGCGACAGCTGAAGTGAGAGCTGGGGGCGATATTCCTGAGAAACTCTTGAGGACGGTGCCCGTCCCTGCAGAGCTGTCTCAGTAACGCTCACACAGAGGGGACGCTGTCTACACACCTGCACCTCCCTGCCGCAGGAAGGCCTCCTTAACGTCCACTTTCTCCTTTATGGTGTGCTCCACACTCAGCATGTTCAGAATGTTTATCAATGGCTGGACGACAGTGAAGTCAAATCTGTAAAAAATAACACACGCACAATTGAAAAATAAACGTAGAAAGTGATAAATACTGGCTCATAATTGAGGACCCCACTGCATTAGTCATTGGTGTATGAGTAATTTTTGCTTTGCGAGAGCCTACCAATTTCAGATCAGCTGGTATAGTTGTATATACAATAAACCCTTAATGTTCGTGGGGATTCGTTTCTGGAGAATGGCACGAATACTAACTCCGTGAATATTAATACTTAAAGCTTATGAGGAAAACAGGGTTAAGGGCATAAACATATTACCTTTAAACATGAACATATAAACTACTAGCAGGAAGTACCCGGCGTTGCCCGGGGGAAAACTATATTTCAAAACTTCTCTTACACAAGCTCTCCTCCTTCCAACTCCCCCATTGTTCTGCTCCTGCATTAGCGTTTTGCTTGAGCAGCTCTTTCCCCCGCCCGCTCACTTTGGAAAACTTATAAGCAGTTGCATATGGAGGCTTGCCCCCTCTTTTCTCTCCGTCTGATGATGACTGAATACTATTATAAAAATCAACATAGCAATGTGCCAAAATAATTTAGTTTTCAATCATCACCCATGACCTGCCATGGTATATGGATCAGAGGACGCTTAACATATAAATGCAACAAAAAGGTATGGAGAAATGCATGCTGCGGATTATACAACGACTGAAGGAGTAATACGTGTATCACAGAACACACACATATTACAGACATTATACTGACGTAAGAAAAGTAAAGTAGGGTTGGGCAAGACACATTGTGGGAAATGTTGTTTGACAAGACAGAATGGCAGCCAAAGGAGGGAGCGTGCCGGAGAGGGTGACCGCGACTGGGATAGAGCAAAGAGATTATCTCAGTCAGAGTCACACAGAAAATGTTCATCAAGACCTAGATGTCAATCGAGGGTAACTCTCAAACCCTTTATAGTTTATAATTTAATTATCGTACGAACAACTTTTAATAACCCCACTATTTATCTCAACCACTATCAACGGATATACAGTTATATAAATGTTGTCAAGCGCCATGGATTAAGGTGCTATATTTCTCTATGTAAGATAAGATAATGATTTAGTTGAAGCTTTCGTGACTGCAGGAATCCATACTCTTTGGTTCTTTCGGTAAATTTACGTAGGTATAAAATCAAATTAAATCACGACGTTTCGGGCGCAACACAAGCGTCCGTCATCAGGTGGGAAAGCATGATCCGCTGCTGAGGCAGATTTTTAAAAGGTTTGAAATGGGTGTAGCCCAAGGGTCATAAAGAAGCCAGAGCCACACGTTAAAAAAATTAGATGTAAACAAGATTGTCATCAATCATAGTAACATCCCAATTTCCGACAGTCTAAAATCGGCACTAGCTAAAGGGTTGAATGAATTTCGCAGTCACCCCTAAACACATCCCAGTGGATGATATAATTGCCCAGGTCGACGTAGCCCTCAAAGGCTTGGGACACATCCTGGCAGACGTTGCTAGATCTGAAATCGCTGCTATCCTCAAAAACGCTAAGAAACCCATTAGCAACATCAGCAAGGACGAGCGTTTTGAACTCTCTAAATTAAAAAACACAGATGACATTGTCATCCTCTCAGCCGACAAGGACAATGCCACTGTCATCATGGATAAAACCACTTACACCAACACAATTTAGGACCTTCTTAATGATGGCAGCTATACCAAAATCAACAGAGATCCCACCAACCGCCTAGCCACAAAAACCAACAATATCATCACTAAACCGATCAGACCAAGCAGAGCTCCCTAAAACCTTCGGCTGCTAGACCACCCAGATTTTATGGCCTTCCAAAAATCCACAAACTAGGTATCCCGCTCCATCCTATCGTCTCAGTCATTAACTCACTCACCTACAAACTGGCCCGATTTCTGTCTGAGACCCTGCTTCCTTTCACGGGCAAGTCCACCTCAGCTGTACTTAACTCAGCTCACTTGGTTTCTCTAATCAAGGACATCTCACTGTCTCCAGATGATTTGCTTGTCAGATTCGATGTAGTCTCTCTGTTCACCAATGTACCTGTACCTGACACCATTGCAATCATTGAAGACTTGGTCCAACAAGGACTGAATCCAGATGTACCAACTTTGGTAAGGCACTGCCTTCACCTGGAATGGTACATTCTACAAACAAAATGAGGGTACCCCAATGGGTTCTTCCTTATCGCCAGTGGTAGCGAATGTTTTCATGGAAAAAATTGAGACAGATGCCATCCAGACATCCACCCTACATCCTTCTTTGTGGAAGAGATATGTAGATGACACGTTCGCCATCTGGCCACATGGCCTGCCAGCACTGAACCAATTTCTCATCCACATCAATTCCATACAATCGTCTATCAAATTCACCATGGAAGTGGAAAAGGATGGCAAGCTACCATTCCTGGATGTTTTGATCGAGAAGATACCTGATGGCTCGTTGGGACATTCGGTCTACAGGAAAGCCACCCACACGGATGCCTATCTAAAGCCTGACTCCCACCACCATCCAGCCCAGAAGAATTCCCTCATCAAAACACTACACTATAGGGCCTGTTGCATATCCGACCAGCACCACCTAGCCAGTGAGTTGGAGCACGTACACCAAGCCCTCAGGATGAACGGATACTCGGACAGTACATTCTGCAAAGCTGTCTCTCCAGCCATGGGAAGACAACCTTCTGAGGATCCAACCAAAACCATCACTTTACCATACATAGCAGGGGTTACCAAAGATATTTCCAAAATCTTAAACAAACACAAGATCCAGGTTCGTGTCAACACAGTACACAAAATCCGTGATTTAATGCCATCTGTAAACGATGTTATTCCTGACATGCCATACCCTGGTGTCTACAAACTGAGTTGTGGTTGCGGTAGCAGTTACATTGGGGAAACGAAACGACATGTCTCGGACCGCGTTTGTGAATACAAGGCAGATCTGAAACACGGTAGGACAATTACCTCTGCCATTGCTGATCATTGTTTTACCGCTGTGGGCTTACACGAGATAGTTTTTTTCCAAGACGGAGATACTCTGCAAACCTAATGGCTACCTTCAGAGATGTGTTCATGAAGCTATCCAGATATATAAACACAGACACAACTTCAGCAGAGAAGATGGGTACAAACTGAGCAATCATTGGAATGTCGTTATTAACCAGGTAAAGTCTTAACTGACTGTGATGTTTCCATCCTACCTGCCTGAGTCTGCTGTTATTTACGACTCTCTGTGTCTCTCTCTCTCTGTGCCTCTCTCTTAGATTTCTCACATGTCGTTTGGATTGCACTCTCATGCTTACATGCCCTTTGGATTGCACTCTCATGCCTTTGGATCACCACTCTTAGATTTTACATTAACATGCTAATCTCTCACATTAACATAGCCACTTCAGTGCCCTTATCGAGGAGGCTGCTTTAGATTGCACCACTCTCCGATTTCACATTAACATGCTAATCTCTCACATTAACATAGCCACTTCCATGCCCTCGTCGAGGAGGCCGCTCTCCTATCTTACATTTACATGCTAATTTCTCACATTAACATCACTAGCCCCGCCCACTTCTTTATGACCCTTGGGCTACGCCCATTTCAAACCTTTTAAAACAGTCTGCCAACAGCAGCAGATCAAGCTTTCTCACCTGATGACGGACTCTTGTGTTACGCCCGAAACGTCGTAACCAAAAAGTATAAGATAATGAGTGAAGATCAAATGTGTCTAGGATTGCTAATTGATTGTTTGTGTTGACAAAGAAAATTAAAAGGTCATCGAATTATTTGTGCAAGTAAAGCAAGCTGTTAAATATATTTATATGCATATCTTGACACGTCACAAGTAAATTGAGTCTATTTTCGAATATACAAACAGGCTGCAGTCAAATATGTTGTCGATTTTCAAACATATACTGAATACAATTATTTAAATGTTGTCGATTTTCAACTGATTGTACCTACTAAATAGACGATATATAAACACATTGCTATGCTATCTACATTCACTTCTGACTGGATTGTGAGTATGATGCATTGCTGTGCTCTAGCAGCCAGAGCCATCTTCTCTTCACATAACAAGATATATCTCCGTAGAGGCACAGTGTGTGTGGGTATGGTAAACAACATCTTTAAAAGGAGACATTTGACCATGCTAATCGTAAAAAAACGCATATGTTGTTAAATTTATTAAATACGATGAGGGTTTCTTGCTTGGGATTTCGTCATTATTTAATGCTGGTCGTAGTAATGTGGCCCACGTCTACGACCTGTTTTCCTGAATGTTTATCCCGGATTGGGGTGGCCTGGTCAGCTGACTAGTTGTGGTTATAATGGGGTTTCCTGTCTCTCCCTCTGACTGTGGGCCTCTCTAATTGTGTGTGGATAGTGAGTGCTTTGGGGCAGCGTTTGTAAAGTGAAACTTGGTCATAAAAAGCAACGTACCAATGTGTCTAAAGAAGAAGGTTGTTTTATAAGAGTGCAGCATTACTTGTTGTGACATGGATCAGAAACATGAACAGTAGCAAAGAAAATGGAACAACAGTTCAATGTGCGCAGTGAAGCATGAAGGGATGCAAGCTTGGACTTACAATGAGAGATAGAAAGAGGAACAGATGGGTTAGAAAACATATGCAAAGTAAAGATATGACATTGCTTGTTAAGAAAGTCAGTGGGCTTGGGCAGGACATGTTACTCGAAGGGATGATGACTCAGTGGGTGAGAATAACAGATGGGCAGCTAAAGATGGGAACGTGCCCAGGAAAGTCTGTCATGCAGAGGGGGTGAAGAAATGAACTGTTGCGCAGGTGCTGGGTGGAATGTTGCATTATAGGACTATAAGAGACGGTTCCATCTTGGGGAGGCCTTCAACTAGCAGAAATTGATAATGGCCGATAATAATGACATCAGCCCACAATGTCCTAGAACTTAATTACAGCAAATACAATGCTTTGGTAATGAAATCCTGCAATGATTACCAGATGGCTGTGGAATATCTCCATTTGCCTTTTTGTACAGTGCTTCGGTAGTGAGTGGGTAGTAACCACCCAGCCACCTAGAGAAGTATATATCAAGCCACAATCTAGATTGAAAACGAATTTATTTACAACTGATTTGTGTGTTTAGTTTGTTGTCCTTCCCCCACACCTTCCATTAGAATGGTTGGCTACGGACGGTGCAAAAGAAGTTCAACATATGTACTTCCCCACATTGGTCAGCCTGATTTGGTGAAAGAGGTGGCTTGATAGCTGCTTTCGGGAAAAAATGGTAGATAAAAAGCCGTAAATTGGAAGATGATTTAAATACCTTAGACCACAGCTTACAGATGTAGTGTGTGTGTGATTTTTGAGTATTTCGTGGGTGGATCCTTACTTAGATAACTTTTTTAGGCTGGTTATCTTCTTCAGTAGATTTTTATTGTCCTTCACACCTGTTTCTGTTGAAATAGAAACAGGGCATTGCGATAAACACATGTTTAAGAAAACTGATGCTACCATTTTCTTTTACTTGCATCATAAAGCTTTATACAGGGACTCCTTTACGAACACTCGACTTACGAACTTTCAGAGATAGGAACAAACCTGTCTGTATGTCCATTTGCCTGTTCGGACTGAGTCTCGTCAGTTCAACCGCTGCCCAATAGATGGTGGTCGTGGCATCTACATTTGAAGAACATGAATAACCAGTGGCATCTACATCTACAGGAGATTATACAACTTTTAAAGCCATTCCCCATGTTTAGTGTACATGCTGTACAACATGTTTGGAATCGACAGGAATCAAGTTGGACTTGCGAACAAATCGACTTACGAACAGACCTCTGGAACCTAACTTGTTCGTAAGTAGAGGCGTCCCTGCAGATGCCAATTTCCTCAACATCAGGCAAGTTAGCAATAATTATGAATCCATTCTCCATTATTATTCCACAGTTGCACTAGCGTTAGGGAATGCTAGAAAGAAAACAATTCAATTAGCTAATATTAGGAGTCAGTTACACATGAATGCATGCAGTGTTTTATAGTAAACGTGTCAGACTTAATATTGTGGTTTAAAGAACGCAGACACTTCCTGACACTGATGTGTAAGTCGTATAATAATGTACAGGTCTTAGTCTATCCTCTTGTGGATTAAGCCCTACCATTGCCTGAGTTACAGAGGTTGTATGACCATACTTTGCCACAATGGTCAGTGCAGGATGGTAAATGAAGGGTACCCAGGACTGCATCAGATATCACTAACTGCTGGTGCTCGCCATGGCATAAAATCGAGCTCAGGTGACTGGATTCATAGTGCAGTATGCAAACCACTATGCCACCACTATTTCACTTCTCCATTGAGTTCCTTAACATAGGAGAGATACCGGCAGCAGAGTAATAGGTTAACATGACAGCTAGTAGTGATATGCCTCTGCAGTGTCTCTGGTAGTGCCTCTGGCTGAATTTATGAATTTATGAAGGTGTTATAGTGGATTAATGCAAGGACTGTGCACACTTAGCCGTGACAGTCAAGAGCCTCCTTACGCTATTGTCCCACTGCTGCCATGTGTTAAGTTACCAAAACACGGGAGTGGCAGGACGTATCTGCGTTTTGGTCTATGGTTATCTAGATGACAGTTTTGTGAATGTACCGGCCGCTAAACCTACAGAGCTCCACTGCAAAACAGAGATGAGGACTTGCCACTGCATCTGCTCTTTTGCAGAAGGGGCAGGGGAGCGAGTGGGGAATGATATAGAAGCTGTCGGTGTGACCAGTGTTCATGTTTATTTATAACAGGGAAATCACCTCCTGGATTGCTTAGTAGCCCAAGTGCACTTTGCCACAGATGTTTCTCTTCCCATAAATTTCACCAAGAGGCTTAGGTAGTTTAACATAGGAGATACAATTAATCTATTTATCTTACATGCAATATATCTGTAAATTCGTGGCCATGCACAGATAAAAAAAAGGAGAATTACAAATCCCCTTGTCTCATTAGAGCTGCCATAAACTGGTGCAGGGTTTCCCTATTTACACAAATGCCACTAGAAAATAATGGTCCAGAAAAAACGTAGTCTAACAGAGTGTGATATTACACTCAAGTAAAGAGACATACATAATTGACTATTGTATTACCCACAATCCTCAAGACAGGGCATATTAAGTTTGGTGCAGTGATGCCAACTGGAATAACAGGTCTACAAGCTGCTTGTGCTGTGGCTATCGCTCAGTCGACTCTCATGGGAGCAAACTTATCTACAACTACCTGCAGATGTTTCTTACTTGTGCTGCAGGGTGAAGCGTATTGCCTCAAGCGCAGACAGCTTGTTGTCACAGGTTTGAGTTCTCGAGCAATTCGTCCTGGCTGGTCTAGGTAAGCTGTGCCCTTTGTAAAAGTGAGAACGCTCTGCATAATTAGCACTCACTCTGCTCTGGCGTAAACGTCTTCATCACGTCCTCAATGAGCTTTGTCGTCTCTTGGAGCTGCACGCCTGAGCCCTCTCGGGAGGCAGATGTCCGGATCTTCTCAAACATCTCTGCACAGGGTACCAGACTTGTTATCAAAGGAGAACAATATCAATACGTGTGTTCCATTTTATATGTTTGTTCCAATTGCATACACTCTCGATAGTTATCAGGTATATTTAATGTGGTCATATGTTTTTTTTATATATATAACAATTGATTATTGACGATAATAAAAACATAATGCAAATTATACGCATTTAGCCAAATTATAGTTGAACATTGTATGTTGCATGGTCTTGTCCTGAGAAAAATTTTACATTTTAAGTAAGCTTATAGTTTTTCATTGCAATACCAGTTTCCATGGGTAAATATTGAGCTTGAAACAAAATCTTCAAACATCCATATATATGCATACACTCATTTACATCAATGCAAAGTATCGACATTTCCTGCAAGATGGCATCAAGGGAAGTGGCACACCACAGCAGACTCTTACTCCACTAAACGGAATAAGAGGGAAGAGGCCTAAAAACACAGTATGTGGGTAGAGTACTGAGCAGGCGGGCAGGCGGGGACTCTTCCCCTGTGACTTATATGTTAGATATATGCTGGTCTAACGCGTGTAATGCAACTGCATAGATACATCGTACACACGGTACTCTTAATACAAACCTGGGCCACCATTCTTGACAAAAGCTGTTTTCAGGGCAAATTTCTCCTCCCGCGTGGAATCAACAAAAGTCATAATTTTCTTCAGCCTTTCCAGGAGCTCAACCATGGCGTAGGTACAGCTGCAAAAGAGGTTGGAATTTAGAAATACGAGCATCAAAGACAGAGATCCTACCTTTACCTTTCATATGCTTGTGTTTCATCACTTTAATACAATAAGAGCACAGAAACAAAAAATAAAATGACAGCTCAAGATGATTTTACCATTAACAATTTTTTTCATAGTGCAAGTTTTGTGACCTCGTTTTGTGAGTCAAATAATGATGATGTTGCAGCATGGTGTGGTTGAGGAGCTGAAGGTACTGCTGTCAGTTGCACGGTGTTGGTGTTGCATGGGAGGTTATTCGTTCAATGAAATGCAAGACGAAAGGGGAAAGGTTACCGCACACGAGCTACAAAGAGCCGTAACGCACGAGTTGACAGTTTTGATTAATGGGAAGGATCCAAATGGTGTCCAATCAGGTAAAGCTGTGAGAATAAGGGAAAAGGAAACAGCCATTTGGAAGGTAGGACAACCAATTGGGTGAAATATAGCAAGGCATGGGAGTATGCAAATTAGCGAATCGAAAGTGTTTTTTGGGCTCTGGGGCTATACAAGATGGGACTGAACACAGAACAGGAGTGTGCACAGAGCTATAGACTGCCGGAGAACCAGGAGCGAACAAGAGCAGCAAGATAAGCTCTCCCGCACTCGAGAAAGTACAGAAGAGTTAGCTCAATAAAGTTTGTGAAAATGATTGCTTAGCCAGGGGCAGCGACTGTGATAGCTGCTGTGTTGGAAGTGATACAGAAAGTGTCTGCAGGGACAGCAGTAGTGATGATACAAGTGATCCAAACTGAGACGGAGGTCCTTGGAAGTTTATTGATAGGTTGAATAGCAGAGTTGCACCAATGCTATTCCACTGATGTATGTTATAGAGGCTGACAGTATTGTATAGAAATCCATCAGTGATAGCGCCGTTGGAAATAGTTAGTTTGTTAAATATTGGCGGAAGAAGTGTATGTGCCACTGATCTATTTACGTGGGATTACACTTATATTGAAAAAAGTTCAGTGAACGCGAACTACAACAAGAGATACAGGGCATGATTGACGAGATGTTACTCTCTGGTGTGCTGGATTGGGGAAGATTGTAAGTCTAAATTGCATCGTTTGCTATCCATTAGAGTTTACACAACATAATTTTTCATAATACGAAAGATTAAATGTCACGATGTGACGATTATCACGATATCAGTTTCGCTTAACTTTGTAAAACGATGTCACGTTTGTACAGCGTGACGTCACGAATCTATGGTGAGTTCCCTTCACCCGGCCTGTGAGTCTTGACCATGGAGGGGACTTGTTCTGCTGCACACACTGCGGGCTGGGACGCCGCTCCGGCCTGCTCACAAATAGCGACGCGCCACTGCAGCCGACGATGTTCCCTGAGGGAATTTTACGCCCTTGGAAATATCTGCTTTCACATTTTGCAAAAAAGCGTGATATACATATGTATATGTAATGACCGGAAAATAACCCCAAGCCTATGTGCAGTCAAACGCTATTCGAAAATAAACCAAGGTCCCTGATTGGACCAAAGTGGTTTCCACAGGGGTTGGTCGGGACGAAGGCTTTTAAAGTGATTGGAGAAAAGGGGTTAAAGGAGAAACAAAGTGGAACCTAGAGGCGACAGTAGGGATCCGTTAGAGGGGAATGACAGGAATTGGCTGAGGGAAATACAGAGACAGAGGGAACATTCCAGAAAGGGGACTAGAACAAGGGAAGGGGGCGTTTCAGGGAAGACAAGCTGAAGACAAGCTGAAGACAAGCTGAAGGTGTCACGGGGGTTGTGTCGGGCCGTGACACTCTGCGTGAACCCAACAGGACACGTGACCAGATAAAAGGGTGCCAGGGGCCCCAGGGGAGTCACGTGGTTGGGGTTCGGGCCTCTCCGAAGGATCCGGAAGGGGGGCGTGGCCTGGGGCAGGGCCAGCCACGCCGGAGTGGTTATAAGTGGGGTGTTGGCAGAGAGCTGGGCTGTTCTGTGCTGTTCTGCTGTGTCAACTCTGTGATGAAGCCACTATCTACGATTCTCGGTCTCTGGTCCAGAAATGTAGTATCCCCATGTGTTAGCTAAGTTATGAATGGTGGTTACCACCCTATGTCGTTATCTTGTTAATGTTAAGAGTTGCCCGTTGTCTTTAGATAATACATATTTTTGCCTCCAAAGTACAATGGGCCCCTGAATTTAACCCACCACACATAGTTTAGAATATTTAAGCATAACTACATGTATAGTAGAAGAGGTTTTTCTGGTTGGCTGGCGCAAGGGCAAGTGTGTGATGACGTCACCCACATCTCACGTTGTCCTTGTGTTGTGCAGATGCAACGCCTCCCCCACCCACCGCAGGTGTGTAACCCTTTGCAAATGCACGGGCGATGCGAGTGTGTTTATCACAAAACGTTATTGCATGTTAAAGAGAGCATTTCAACTATGGAATATGTACTTCACACTCACGACTCTGTCTGTGTCAAAACAGCATAAATAGGGTTACACTCGCATCGTGTATGTGCGTGACAGGGGGTTCGTCGTCTTTGATTGCTTCCCACAGTCCACACTTGTCCCCAGCCTTCTCTGTCCGTTTCCTGCCCGTTCTCCCCCTTTTCCCCACCAGGTCTCCCTCTTATATCTCCTCGCCTGCTCCTCCCCCTTCCACTGTCACCGTCCCACTGTCCCCTTCTTTTTGGTGGGAATCCTTCGCCTGACATCCCTTACAACAGTGTGAAACCCCTTCCCGTGGAGAAACCAACATGTCTATATTAACAGCACCATCTTACCTGGGCAGATTTTTCAATTCCTTTACAATGTTCAAAACTTCATCTACTTTCTTTTTCAATTCTGGTCCTATTAACACAAGACAAATATGAGCAAGACAACAAGAACCCAGATGAAACGGCCTTAGTTGTTATAATTAGGGTCATAAAGGAGACACATGGGCTTTGGGGGTGGAGATGGGGGGAAGAGGGCAAATGTAGCCATATCACAGAGCGTGTGGCTGATGTTTGTTATCACAGTTCATTGTTTGAGAGTGGCAGCTTTGTGGCGATTTAAAGGTTGTTGCTCTCTTGCTTGGTCTGCAGACTGGATACACAAAGTACTGCTGTTTTCTCTCCAAATGGGATAGTCGTGTGAGAGATTCCTACTACATCAAGATAGATTGGCCACTCCGACAGTCATTGGAGCCTGTGAGAAAAAGTGTTCAGCATCCACAACTCGTTGAATCAAGGAAGATTTTGTTACCACCCTTACACAGCAAGCTGGGTCTGATAAAGAACGTTGCCAAAGCTATGGACAAAACACAAGCGGCTTTCAAGTACCTCTGTGGAAAATGTCCATGGTTAAGTGAAGCTAAGATAATGGAAGGACCTCATATGCGTGAATTTTTTCGAGATGATGCATTTGACAGTGCACCGCGTGGCAAGGAAAAGACGGCATGGAAAGCCTTCCAGTTCGTGGCCACAAATTTGCTCGGAAATGACAAGGCAGACCACTACAGGGAGTTGGTGGAAAACCTCAAGGCACACAAAAGCCTTGGTTGCCACATGTCACTAAAGATATTTTTTTTGCACTCTCATCTAGATGTTTTCCCTCCGAACTGTGGAGCAATGAGCGACGAGCATTGCGAGCGATTTCACCAGTACATTGCAACAATGGAGAAACGCTATCAGGGAAAATGGAGCCCATCAATGCTTGCAGACTATTGATGGACAGTGACAAGAGATGCTCAATTTAATGAATACAAGAGACAAGCCAAAAAGCGCCGCGTAGACACTAAGGACTAAACTATGCACTTATATATACACTAGCGGTAAGTACCCGGCGTTGCCTGGGTGAAAAATACATTTCAAAACTTCTCTTAAAAACCTTACATATACACACACAGATACTAAGGTATTGTGAAAGCCCGGTGGGCCGTTTGTACATTTCTCCACCAACAAAATTATAAGAAGCTTGCAAAAGTCCAAAAAGTTGTAGAAATTGTGGGGTAAATAGTTGATGTAAAAGGTTTCCGAAAATTGTGGACACCCCCCCTCAAAAAATTATCTTTACCCCCGTGTAGGTATATATACCTACACACCCTACATACAACAGAGGAAGTAGTATCTATTGACTCTGTAGTTGTATCTACTAACTGTACAGTAGTATCTACTGAGCCAGTAGTAGCTACTGACTGTTGGAGTATTATTTACTGATTGTAGTAACGACTGAACGTAGTACTATCTACTGGGCCTACAGTAGTATCTACCGACTCTATAGTAGTAACAACTAACTGTATAGTAGTATCCACTGACTATAGTAGTATCCACTGACTATAGTAGTAACTACTAACTCTATAGCATTATCTACTCACTCTATAGTAGTATCTACTGACTCTAGTAGCTACTCACCGTCGAAGTATGTACTGACTGTATAGTAGTATATACTGACTGTAGCAGTATTGACTGACTGTAGTGATATATACTGACTGTTTTAGTATCTACTAACTCTATTTAGCAGTATCTACCAACTCGATAGCAGTATCTACTATCACTACAGCAGTGCATACCGACTGAGGTGGTACCTGCTATGATCACAGTAGTACATACTGGCTGTGGTGGGACATGCTATGATCACAGCAGTGCATACTGCTGTGGTGGTACCTGCTATTATTACAGCAGTGCATATTGTGGTCCTACCTGCTATTACAGCAGTGCATATTGTGGTGGTACCTGTTGTCTACAGCAGTACATACTGTGGTCGCACCTGTTATGACTACAGCAGTACATACTGACAGTGGTGGCACCTGCTATGACTACAGCAGTACATACCGACTTTGGTGGTACCTGCTTTCACTACAGCTGTGCATACTGACTGTGGTGGCACCTGCTATGATTACAACAGTGCATACTGTGGTGGAACCTGCTTTCACGACAGCAGTACATACTGTGGTGGTACGTGCTATGGTTATAGCAGTGTATACTGACTAGTGTGCCTTTCTCCTAATTTTCAAGCTTGCGTACCGGACCACCTCGTCATCTTGCTTACCGCTGTCTGTTCTCTCTGCCTGGGTCCTATCTTTGGAATTTTCACACTTAAATTCTAACTTAGCAATCTTTGAAATACGTAATCAACCGGGCTATGTGTTAATTGTGTGTTGACCGACTCTCTGTGTTGCATTACATTACATTTCGATATTTTACTAGGTTATTTAATTTTAGCGTGTCTTTCTCCTGATTTTCAAGCTTGCATGCCGTGCCGCGTCGTCATCTTACTTGCAGCATCACGTTGTCGTCCACTCATTGATATGCTAATTTTTTCTCTGCCCCCTCCCTCTCTCCGCCCCCGCCCCCCTTCTCTATATTTAAGGCCCCGTCACAGAAACGACCTCTCTCTTTGTGCCGATATGTGTTCTCTCTCCGTGTGTCCTTGTGATGTCTGTATGCTTGTATGTCTGTCTATAGTTTTCTAGTTAGATTTTTATTGCTATTTCTTTTATGCCTGATGATGATTGCTTGTGTTGCAATCGAAACGTCATAATATGCTATTATTTTATCTTTAGACGTGACTTAACCGAAAGAACCAAAGAATAATTCCTGCAGTCACGAAAGCTCCAAAATTAAGATTGGTGGTACCTGCTATGATTACAGCAGTGGATACTTACTGTGGTGGTATCCTATGACTACAGCTGTGCATACTGACTGTGGTGGTACCTGCTTTCACGACAGCAGTGCATACTGACTGTGGCGGTTCCTGCTATGATTACAGCGGTGCATACTGACTGTGGTGGTACCTGCTATGACTACAGCAGTGCATACTGACTGTGGTGGTACCGGCTATGATTACAGCAGTGCATATTGTGGTGGTACCTGCAAAGATTACAGCAGTGCAAACTGCTGTGGTGATATCTGCTACGATTACAGCAGTGCATACTGCTGTGGTGGTACCTGCTATGATTACAGCAGTGAATACTGCTGTGGTGGTACCTGCTATGATTACAGCAGTGCATACTGCTGTGGTGGTACCTGCTATTACAGCAGTGCATACTGCTGTGGTGGTACCTGCTATGATTACAGCATTACAGCAATAGTTTGTAGCCTTTTGTTTCATAATACATTGTATTTATATAACCCTTTTGCTGATTTTTAAAGTGTTACATGAATAGGACAGGTGACATGTTATCATGTAAAGCAACCATAAACACATGCAAAGGCCTAGGTTTACAATTTATTAGTAAAACTCTACGATCTACACAATATACATAGAAGTAAAATGTTAAAACTTTGATATCTTTGGAACAGTAGCCAATCACTTGTTTTAATTGTCATATTTGAATTCAGCACCTCAAAATCCATAATAAACAGCACATTTCATCTCTGAAGCAGACGACGTCTACAAAATTGTAGACGAATGAAATTAAACATTAATTGCAATATTTAAATAATAGTCTCCTTGCACATTTGCACAGAGGCTGCATCAAATCCATACCTCGCATGTCTTCTGCCAGAAACCGCAGAAGCTGAGGAGGCAATTAAGATTCAGCGATAACACCGGGCATTAACATAATCCAGCTGTGAAGCTGTGCGTGCTGAATGCAACACACAGAAAACCCCCTAGTGAACATGTTTAATTATTTAAGTCCAATGTTATCATGCAACTGTTATACATTAGCAATATAATGTAGAATACAGACAAGTTATACTCCCCTTGTCACTCAATTTATACACTGTATGCTTCATTGTGTATATTATCTGCTATACAGAAGAGTGCATCAGCTGTGAAAATAGCACTAATTCAATGTCACCCACGACATGTACACTATTTACAAGACAATCACATTACTGCTGTAACAGTCTGACAGTTTAGTGTTAACACACTTGACCTGTTCACCGACTACACATCAACTGCTTTTTAATAGTTTATCACGAAACCAATTGTAATATACCTCAGTTAAGTTTTAACTAAAGCACACACCTCTGAAGGAGTTTCATCCATGGAGTGCATAAGATCAACCGTCTAAAACAAAGACAATTACATGATTACCTCAGCACATTCACATTCGTTTCACAATACGGTGTCTCAATTGAAGCAAAAACCATCTCTGTTCTCACAATATAACAATAAATGCTAGTTTAAGTTTTCAATTCAGTGTTATTACATTTTGTAATAGAAGAATACATTGATAGATATCTCATTTGATTAGCACATTGCTCATGACTTGTTGGACAACTTTGTAGTCTTGTGACTTTCTTCAATAATTTCCTGTCGTTCATTCCCATTGGGAGTGATAATGGCTATGTCGTCAATAACTTAGATATGGACAACACTTTTTTCATCTATGTTCATTCCTCGATTTTTCTTATAACATTTTCAGAAAACATCTTCTAATGTCGCAGTGAGTAACTTTGGCAAGGTCTGTATATTGACTTAACATGCAATGTGTTTCATTATGCAACCTGAGTGTAGCTGTTACATTTTTGCAACCGGTCGAACTTAAACTATTTTCTTTTTACATGTATTTATTACGATCTTAACTTGCGAGAGGCTGAATGTGTGTCACACAGAAAGTAAATAGTATGAAAAAAGGACAGCATCAAAAAGTCACAATCAGTCATTGGACCAACATCTGCAGATATGGTAACCACATTTTTACACGAAAATGTAAATCTCAATCATTGAACTGTGCTTCAATTATTCTTCTATTCTAAAAGAGTGATCATTCATGTTCTACAAATTTCCTAAGCAATAACAGCATTCCTCATGGCGTTTACTCAGAAATTAGCTTCCCCCCTCCCAAAAAACAGTGAAGTATCAATAAAACGAACTACATAGATTGTATATATAATGAACTTCTTCCGTACCGTACGTAGCCAACCGTGCTAATCGGAGGTGCGGAGGAAGGACAACAGATTAAACATAAAAAGCAGTTCTCAAGAAATGAGTTTTCAATCTAGATTTAAAAGTGCATAGTTCCAGTCGCGTCCTTATATCAAAAGGAAGAGAGTTCCAGATGGCCGCAGAAGCACATCTGAAAGTGCGCGATGCAGTGACAGTATTTGTTCGATAGCTCGCCAAAAAGACGCTGCGAGGATGACCGGAGTTCACGTGATGGTTTATGCAGGCACCAATTAACACACACAAGGCATTCATAAAATGCATACAATATCAAGCACCACTATGTTCCATGAAGGATAAAGTGATGTCATAGCAGTAAAAGTATCTCCGTTGGCAGTTGTGTCTAGCTGAAGTGATGTTCCTCAGCTCAGTATTGTTCCACGTAATTGAGAGCTTTATCATGTTGGCAAATCGGGTTGAGCAGTTATATCTAATGCATACATTATCAAATCATAATTTTTGCATGTTTTACCACAATGCAGAATGTTTGCCTTGCAATGTGTGTCTATTTGATGTTTGAACATCTTAACACCTGTATTTTTGCCAGAAAGGGTAAAGCCTATTCTGTTTTCATGACCAATGTTTCACGAAAATAGGACAGTGTGATGTGGTGAGTTAAGATGCCGTGTAATAATGAGCATAACCACAGTGTGATGAGGCAAGAGCAGTTTAACTTCCACGAGGAGCCCCGCTTCTCTCTCCCAGGCTCCAGGCAGCGCCAACTCACCTCGGCCAAGGCCTTCTCCAGCGCTTCATCTCTACCGCTGGCTGCCACGGCCTTTAAGGAAGTGAAAATCATTAATTACATTTTCATTCACGTCACATAATAATAATATGTAAATAAAGATAACTTACAGCTTCCCACATCGTGTCAGTCATGGGGGTTAATTGACCATACCTCACCGTACTTCATTAGACCTCCTTTGCCAGTACCAAAATATAATAATAGGGGTTTTCCCCTTTTTTCTTTCAACAAAACTTGTTAGTGTGGGTTGGTGAAAATGGAGGCCTCAGGACTTTCAGATATTACTCGTCACCAATATTGGCCGTGGTCACAGAGTCAATCTTGGGTCGCCGGATTACATAGCACAGTGCGCTAGCCACTGTGCCACCGCTCCACCATTTGATTTAGGAATTTTCAACAATTAGACACATGTAAACTCACATTCACATGCTTTATATCAATTTGACTTTATATGTGATGACATAACTAATATTTAATATATTGGAGGTCCAATCTTCAATACAATTTTATTTTAACAGTAAGTAATTTTGGAATACATTAACAATTTCCAGTTAATTAAGTGTTTTTGTGGAAATTCATTTTAGGACAAAAATGTTCAATGTGTATCAGGCAAACAGATCGAGTGTTAACTTAAAAAGCAGGTTTTCAGACACAATGGCACGCTAGTTTTTGGGTCAGACAACGTGGCAGTTTTATAAAAAAGCATTTCTGTCATTAACCCTCCACCACCCGACACCAACTACCAAAGCACGCGTTATCTGCATTTCTCTGTAATGTGGGCCTGGCCAGCTTTCATTTAAATTATATGAAATATATAATAATAATAAAAACACACACATTTCAGTAGTGTTCAATTGACTCCTACTTTGCTAATCATTCCTAGCATCCTTGAATAAAACAGACCACGTTAGTCTCTAATCAACTTGTTAAACCACTCTAGCATTGACATGTTTTTATTTCGTGCTCTTTCCCTCACTCATACCCACTCTCTTCTATAAGATGCACACTAGTCGACTCTCTATCCCTCCACAGAGTCATTGAGGGCTCTCTCAATGTCATTAAATGCTGTCATTACAAGGCATGCCCAATGTGCCTTAATTCATGATCCAGGCGAGGTCCCACTAACCTCTGTTAAAAATCACCTCTCCTGGAAATCCTGAATATTATCACATATGTGGTGTTAAATGATCTACATGCTCATCCTTTTGCCATATAATGTTAACAGCTATAACTATGAATCACACATTAATTAGTTGTTCAAGCTAAGTTAGGCAAACCAGTCCATGTCTAGAGTAGTCTACACTCTATTTTCATATAATATTTAGTCTACACCCTATATTCATCCATACAGTGTATATCTCATATGTTAGAGGCAGAACGTCTATTGAATAAATGTGATTCATAATAGATGTTTGGGTCATATCGCACAAATATAATGTGTGTAGTAAACCCTCCACTACCGAACACACTAAAATTAATATAGTTGTCACTTGAACAAACGTGCCAATTTATTACTGCGTGCCTTTACACACTGTGAGTGCTGAAGCAGTAATACATTGGCATATTATTTCACGTGACGACATTATTGGCTGTGTTGGGTGGAGGAGAGTTTATGGCACACATTTTACTGACGCAATCTGTCCCAAAAATATATTTGTATTCACAATATTATTCGCAAAAGCTCACGTGTTTAAGACATGTTTATGAAAGTGAAATTAAGCAACACATTTTACACATAGTGGCTAAGGCTATGTCATATGTTAGTATTTAATTCCAATAAATTATTCATGGTATAGAGTGTAAGCAACAATACTCCCTTGCATATTAGCATCCATATGCCTGTTCTTTTTTTAAAAAAGAAATACGTTGTGAAGCTTGATTACTGCAAAGTACAACCACAGAATTATCCAAGAAAACTCACGCCTTGGAACATGCGCTGTATTTTAAGAACATCGAGTGGGCTGAGGAAGTCCCTCTGACCGATCGGAGTTTTCTTGTCTTGAACCGGCACAATCGTGGGGCTGACTCCATCGATTGATGATGCGTGCCTTTATACGGCAAGCAAGCATAGGAGGAAATCAGTAACAGTAATAACACTCATTACATGAGAATAATTGTCTAAGATTGAAAAATTGTTATTGCATTAATATTTATTGCCTTTTTGCCGCATGTATTCTTTATATAGTTCAATCAAGCAGTGCATATTTCTAGCTACTTGGCATTGGGATCAGCAACTAGGAAAATGACTAAGAACATTAAACAAAATATGATAATTGCACAAAGAAGCATGGGGAGATGCATTCCTGGAATTATACTGCGAGAAAGAAAATATATCACATAGCTAAGGGAACAAATGCAAATATTGTGTTCCAAAAGAGAATGTAAACTTGAGCTCAAGTAATAAATAAACTACTGTCAAGTACAAGTTTTATGAACAAAATGTAATAATTGATAGAGGGACACAACACTGGACAACAGAGCAGAAGTCTCTAGATGGTAATTAATGAAGGCTGACCAGGAACACAACGATGGAGTGTTGAGTAAGAGCAGGACTAAGTCAGTTTAGATTATAAATAGCAACTTCGCAATGTATAAAAATCGTTAGGTTTGCAATCATTACACATGACCTGCCATGAAATATAGATCAGAAGACTCAAAAAAGAAAATGAAACAAACACATCATGTAGCGATGCATGATGGGACAGAGACATTTAGAGTATAACACATGGATCAAAGAACACACACACATTAAAGACACCATACTGACTATTAACACAAAGAAGTGGGATTGGGCATGACCCATAGCTAAAACGGACGATGGCCTATGAGAAATGCATCTGATTTATGCAATACGTGCATGATATAAATAGTGATTATTAATATTATTAGTGGTGATGGAATGGCAGCCAAAGGGAAGAACATATCTAACACTACAACAACTATTAGATGTGATGATGAGATCAGTGCAGGCACAGGACTGAGACGGACTGTGGCATAGCAGGGCCATGGGGGCAGTGGGGGCCGTGGGGGCCCTGGGGGCAGTTTGGGCCATGGGGACCGTGGGGGCTGTGGTCAACGTGTGGGGAGGTTTTCATCAAGTGTGGGTGTATTGGCTGACGATGATAATAAAAATTGTTATTGAACCAGAATTAACCTTTGAAATTCACATCAACATATCTAGGGGATTCTGGCAAAATTACATCAAACTTAATCAATGTATATTACACAGCACAGAAAATAGATGAATAGAGGTTATAGTTTAACATGTTATCAAAGTTTTAAGAAGATGGTGTGAAAATGTGAAGTGTATGTTGCACAGTGATGTCGGTGGAAAGGCACCACCCGCATAGCATGAATATTGATGAAGGACAATAAATAATAATGAAGAATTCCATTGATTTACATTTCAGTGGTAAAGTCCATGGGGAGACCAAATATGGGAAATGTTATGTATGGTGGCAGATAAGGCAAGCACACGTGTGTTCTAACATCAGAAGCTTTTGTTCTTGTCACTTTGTTAATATACAGCTCTATGACCAATACAGTAATAAAGATATTGCTGGTGCCTCAAGCACCTGTCTCTTAACACTAAGGTTGGCCGCTTTACTCTTCCAAAGTGGTTTATATTGTCTGTCAAAAATCATCGGCAATACATAAGGCTACCAGTTTCTGGGAGACTCAAAATGGACTTGAGCTGGCAGCCTGTCACATGTTATCCTCGCCAACTTTTACACAATTATGCCCACCCAATCACGAGCCCAATTCACACAATGAACCTCCTTGTTATCTCTATTGGCCATTCCCACTGCCCATAGGCCCCAGCCACATGCCAACCTCATCCATTTTTATCCACTGCTGTGCTGTTTAACCATCCCTGATTGGTCAACCAATTGAAGCTGGGACAAAATCGCTAATGTCAAATAAGCTTCGGGATACCGGAACATCCTTTCTGAAACCAAAGCTGTCTCAACCACAGTGGGATGTTTGGTAGCTTTACAATAATAAATATTAACGTCATCGCAACCACCTACCTGTATTATGCATAAATACTACCTAAATACATCAAGTCCTCATCTATATTCACTCTCTCATTTCTTGACAGCTGTGATCAAGTTACAAGATACACATTCCTAACCATTGCCATGCACTTTGTTTTTTGGATGCTCACACTCAGATCCCATTTTCCAGCCTTATTGCCTAAAACAGCCAAGAGCTGTAATGCCACATCCAAGGCCCTCACGAGCAAACCTTGGAGCAAAAAAAGCCTGCATGCTGCAAGTCTCCTCGGTGCAAACAGCACACAAAGTTGATCATGACATTAAACAAAGCTGGTGGTAAAATACACCCCGACCCAACAGCGGTCCTTACTCAAAACCACTTTAACGTCTGTCTTTCAACCCAGATACAGGACTGTATCTCGCAGTATAAGCTCTTAGGCGGTCTGATTTATTTACCCAGAATGTGAAAGCAACCTAAAAGTTTCCATAGTCCTCTCTAAAGGCACTCATATGCTTGCTCCAAGTCTTGTTTAAAGTCTACATCAGATATGTTGTATTTGTGTAGAGGACACAAACACACACTGTGAAATAACTCACAAGAGTGGGCCCTCTGTGGCAGTGTCATAGATCGCATTTCATAAGAACTTAAAGCAAAAAAAAGCTTACATGGTTGCCAGGTCTCACATGCATTATAGGATAAAGTGTCTCAAGAGCCTTTCTCTTGGTTTCTGGCCAACTGAATATGACACGCCAATCTTGTAGTGGCTGCTTATGTCAACGCTTACCTGCTGTTGTGTGTAATGGAGATGTAGTCATAAGGCAGTCCGTAGTCACGCTCACTTAATTCAAGACGTTTAAATTGGCACAGATCATCTGAAAAATAAAAAATAAAAATGTATTTAGTGGCATTACTAGAGCTGGACATTTGAGGAGGATAGGTATTAGGCAGATAATTCTAAGGACATCCAGAAAACCATATTGGCCCAGATTTACATACCTAGCAGGTAATTCATGATTGTGACTGAGAACTCTGCCATCCAGTGGGATGGATGTGACACACACATACACCATGTGCCTAGCCAATCATAGCATAGATGTGTGGAAAGGGGAATCTACAGCAATTCCAAGTTGACAAAAACCCTAGCCACTTGCATAACATGCCTCCCTCCAACCAGGAGTTCACATAGACACGGATGCTGGGTTTAGCAAAACAACCCACACCTCCTCGATGTTGTCACATGGGAACACTGATGTGTTTTGAGCAATGCCATTTGGGGAAAGGCCGAAAGGCTGATGCTAGTCAGCTGTTTACCCTCATGTCATTCTTATATCCACAACAGTGCTGAACGCGGGGGTGCTGGATAGGTGTGAGGGGGTGGAAGGCCCTCCATCTATTAACTTATTACGAAATGAAAGAAATACAAAACACCAGCCTAAGCATGTGCCGGAGGCCTACAGGGGACGGGCAAATATGACATATCCTCGCCAAACCTCATATGCAGAGCCAGGAGACTGAATTCCCCACCCCACCCACCAACTGGGGTTCCTCCACAAAAAAGACATCATCTGTTGACACCTCTGTGGAATACAGGAGGTCCAGTGAACCAGTACTGGCTCCAGATAGCAGTCCACCATTTGAGGCAGGACAGAATAATAAACGAAGTGCGGGAGCATAGCCGTGAGGAGCACAAGAGGTGCCACAGTGGCGAGATGTTAACTATCTTGCCTGGTATAGATGGTTGTGGGTTCGATCCCGACCCTGATGCCTGTATATTTGGAGTTTGCATGTTTTCCCTGTGGTAACCTGGATTTTTCTCCAGATCCTCCAGTTTTAGCACCGCATTTAAAAACATGTGTTTAGAGTATTTGGCTGCTATAAATTTCCACATAAGCCACTTCGTTGGGCTATCATTCGTAGCCAGGTCGCTTTCTGAAAAAAAACTTTTTTTTTGCTCAGTGGGCTTAACATGGTAAAATAAAAACTAGTTTAGTTTTAGTTTAGGTGTGGAAAGCTGCGAGTTCCAGAATATTATTGGCTTGCCTCCACATCGAGAGATGACGAATGGTGGTTGGTGGCTTATGTCCTCACTGAAGATGAATATTCGTGGAGAGATGTAGGAAAGACTGTCGAGTCACATGCTTTCGATGACTTCCTATCCAATGTGTTGGCTAAAGTGGCCCATCAGGAGAATAATTTTCTTGTGGTGAGTCATGACAATAATACTTTGGCAGATGGCCCAGATCAGTTGAATAACAATGATAGGAGGCTGCTATACTTCTGTGCAGCTCATGTACTCGTAATTACAAACACGCTGTTCCGGTATTGATAAAATCACCTATCTGCTGGACTATATATCGTTATGTAATAGCAAATTCAGGCCCATATCCTTAACAGCACCTATCATGGAGCGGATCTGCCAACTGGCCATCTACTTGTCATCTGTAAAATACGCATGCGATTATTTCACTATTGCGCTGGGCATGAACATAGGACACCATTCAAAATCATCACTTTCAGTTGGGATTGATATCGTCCCCCCCTCCCCTTCATGCAGAGGGAAATGGGTAAGGTTCAGTGCTGGCTAATGCAGCTGCTATGGCTCAATTAGATCAGCAGTCCAGCCCTCCTCAAACACCTTGGCCGATGGAGGCGGTGTTCCAGCTCGCAAAGGGAAAGCAGCAGCCCCACTCTTACCATCTACAACATCCTATATCTGAGAATGAGGACGCTTACCACAGCCTTCGCTTGGAGATTCAGAGAGCCGTGTGGCACTGAAAGGATAATTGATGGTTGCAGGTCGCTGAGGAGATGGAAACTGACTCAGCAGCTTGCGATCACAAATCACTGTTTAATTGCATCCAGAAACCAACTTCAAGCATCACACATATTATAGTCCTTTAGGGAAATAATGGTTATACGATCTCTGACCCCCAAGAACATGTCTGTAGGTTTGCTGAGTATATCTGTGAGGTCTTCGGGGACGGGAAACCCATCAGCCCAGATAGCATCATGGGGTAAGATGGGGTTGACCCTCCTGGGGGTACTGTGCCTCAAATATTGGAGGAAGTATCCACCCCCTGTGAGTGGCTGGCTGATGTGCCATATGTTGAACTATGAAAAGTGATCCAGATCCTGAGACACGGAAAAGTGGCAGGCAGAGATGACCTCCTAAGTGAACTGCTGAGGGAGGGTGGCAATTTCGTGCAGGCTGACGGATATTATATAATTACCACTGTCTAGACCATAGGATGGGTTCGATATCATAGGATGCCCTGGTGGTCCACTTTTTAAAGAAAAAATAGCGCACTGATTTTAACAAGTATGGGGGCATCTATCTCCTCAGTGTGCCGGGAGAGGTCCTGGCAAGGATTATTCAACATTGCCTTGCCAGGCACGCCGAGGAGAGGCTTACGGAGCCCCAATGTGGTTTCATAACAGAGCAGCCCTGCACAAACACCATAGTCTATGTCTGTCTGCTACATCAGAGGTGTAGGGAATTTGAACTGGACCTATAATCACTACTTTATTGACCTGGTCAAGGCCTATGATACCATCAGTAGGCCAGGGCTTGAGGTTATTATTCATGCTTTTGGGGTAGTACTCAGAAATCTACGTAATGAGGAATATAACACTCAAAGCTCCCCACAGTATAGTCTGGATTACGCAGTAAGTGATGTGACAAAAGCTCTGCTGTGGCACAATACTACTCGGTACTCATGCAGCACCTGCAGCAGTCAGGCAGTCGGGAATGACAAAACTGCATCGGACTTGCAGCACCGACCATGAAGCCTGCAATTCCTTTCTCTTTTTACAGACGACTCTGTTTGTGGGACATAATTCCGATGTGATGAAGTAGTGCAGTGCAAGTGGCCATCACTGATCGGCACTGGAAATGCCACAGTAGTCTTACCCTGTCAGGTTAGTGCCATCAATCACAGACGGTGAAAGTGCATCGACACCATGGGTGACTTTGTCAACAAAATTACGCTTATGTGAGTAAACACGCGGATTCCCTTGCGTGCCATGCATACCACTATGTCTACTGCAGTTTATGAGAGAGCCAGTCAGTGATGCGAAGTTTAAATAACCCCTCGCACAATCACTAAATGCCTACCTGCAGGCTACTGAGTTCACTGCTCAACTGACCTTTCTTGGTCCTTATAAAATGTATGTAACTTAACCCATGTAAATGAATCCTCAAATGTGGTGCATCTACGTAAACATATAAACATCAGTTCATGAAATAAAATACTGTTCCTTATAACCATGTTAAAGATAAACAACGCACTCTCCTTGATGTTGTCCTCATGGATGTGGACGTGGTCATCGCGATCGCTGCGGCAGTGCTCGTGGTGGAAGCCGAGCGCGTGCATCAACTCGTGCAGAACCGTGCCCCTGTCCACCTTCCCGGGCTCCAGGGACACGGACTGAGCCCCTCCCTTCTTGCCCAGGAACGACCAGCTCCTGTTCAGACAGTACTCGGGATGAGTCAATCAAACATTCTGGCACACGTGGCCATCCCAAACATGCAGATATTCATTACACTGCATCAATTGTTATTGTTAAACTTGTTTACCAAGGAAAACCTCGTTGAGTATCAATACTCAGATCAGGAAGGTCCTGCCAAATCTTAACAGCAGGAGGCAATGTTGCTGTGTATAGTCACCTCAATTGAATAACTGGCACATTATTTTTCAGCAATGGAATATTTGGGCAATACCAGTTACAATGTTATTTTTGCATGTAAAAACAGCCCCTGTTCACACCACTACTGTAAGCTAGTTCAAAGTGAAACAATGCCTGTTTAAGAGCCGAGAGTGTTACATTACAGCAGTGCCATCTCACGGGACTGGCCAAGTCCAAGCCCACTTTAACTAATCATCCAATTCATAAGCAGTCAGATGATTATTTTATTCCATGTTTGTTTTTACTTCTTATTCTGTTTTGTTGCATTACGAGCTGTCTTATCTGTTGTGTGTTTACTATGTACTTTGTATGGCTATTTAATGTTTGAAAAAACTTTTAACAAAAATTATGCGACATGGAGCATGCTCTTGTTTATTTATGTGTGGTGTGCTCATGAATATTCAGACGCCGCATCTGTAAGAGCGTGGTGGGGAGACACTCGCACAGACTGAACATAACAGAATCAGCCCAAAAAACACAAAGATCCCCCGTATAGCCTGAACAGAATGTTGGGGCAAGTGCTATTCGTGAGCACCTGTGAAGGCCGGCACGGCACAAGAGGGGGTGGGGGGTCAGCAGCACACCCAGCAACCTCTGTCTCCCGAGTGGCGATGTTTACACACCGCACCAGGTACTCATTTGAGGCTGAGTCGACGTAGGGGAAGCAGACTATATCTGCTATAAGAATGGTGTGAATTCTAAATGTACTGATGATTTAATTAAATCTGTGATCAATGCATTTAGAACTGTAACTCAATGAAAATGTATTTTAAGCAATGAAAAAGCTTATCTATTGCAATTTAGCACTTGCACCTATTTACATTTGTTCATGCTAGGGTTCAGGTTTCGTTTCTCTGTTGATTAAAGTCATCTAAGTGATGAATGAACCAGGGATATAGCGCTTATCTATATTTTCGAGGGGTCAATGAAGATCAAAAACATTTGATAAAGTCTGATAAACAAGATCTTACTTTTGAAAGGGAAAAATTATTTGCTTTGTCATTTTTGAACAAAGTAAAATAAATTGACTCAACTTTTGTATCGCAGCAGAGATCACCTTCAAACATATATATTTAGCAAAAGGACACTGTTCAGTTTTTATGTGCTATCATACATGATCAGCACTAAGAGACAGATGCAAAAAATGAAGAATAGACAAACCAATGTTAATGTAAATTTATTTATTTACAATATTAGTAAAACCTAGATCATGTTCTTCTGGGTCAAGGCACAGTTTTAAGTTTGTTAATCCAATAAAAAAAGGGCCAAGTCACATACATGAGACATTGTTGAGACAGTAGTGCAGTGGATGGTAAACAAAGGCAAGTTAAGTTTATTCACTCATTTGTGGATCATAACCCAGTTTACCCACTTATGTTTACCACTTCACCACTTAAGGCAAACCACTGACGTACATGGGAGTTGTTGCACAGATATGAGGTCTTAGAGAGCTGATGAATGTGAGGTAAGAAGGAAACCTGAGTCGAGGAGAAGCCCATAAAGGCTGCTGGCACACTTAGGTTCACGATTTAATAAGAACGCGGAGAAGAAGTCTTCGTTGAGGCCTTAACATTTTGTTTTGGGTAGAGTGCAGTCGAGAAAATCGGAGAGCTCTGAAATGGAGACTCGAGTACATGAAGCACAGTTTCAGTGGAGCTCTCAGGTGATATTTAAAGAAAGCGTTTCGTGTTTGTTGGCTCGGTGTTTTGACAAGGCTAACAAATAGGCCCTATGAACTGTGAAGCCAGCTCCATTATGAAGTGTGAACATTGATCGGTGCTCACCCGCCCAGTGCCTGGAAGTTAATGTAATCCAGCTCCTGTTTTCTTGCAACAAAGCGGACACACGTCTTCTCTTGGAATTCTCCGAAGGCTTCGTCAATCTCCTTCTTGTCTCGAGAATCTAGAGACAAAATATGGTATTGAGCCAGTTTGGTTACTTGAATACACGTAAAGTAGTATGACACAGTGGTGGCTGGGCTATAGGGGACACATTTTTTAATATAACAAAATTTTTGTAAAAGTAAAAAATAAATGGCTAATTGAAGTCACTATATACTTACAGTACTTGATACAGTAAATATAGCTGACGGTCCCACCTGAAGACGGAGACTTGTGTTGCCTCCGAAACGTCGTGATTTAGTTGAGTTATTTTCATTTATTATTATTTTATTTTATTATTATTATTTACCTACGTGACTTTACCGAAAGGCATTGTGTCTCAGGGCAATATCGGGGAAGCCCCAGCCAATCACAAGCAATTTTTAAAAAATGCATGTGGCCCGCCCCACCAGCTCCTCACACGAGGGTTACTTGATTGCCCATTAATAGTCACAGAGTGCATAGTCTTGTCCAGTTGTATACTACTACAGCACTGGTAATCAGGAACATTCAACCTGCACAGCGCTTGTCAGTCACTGCATGGTACGTTCCAACACACAGACAAAGATCCTCCATATAGCCTCAACAGACATTTTGGGAAAGTCCTGTGAGTGAGCACCTATGATGTACGGGACAGGACAAAAGGGGAAGGGTGGTCAGTACCCTGAAAAGCCACAACAGGCACTCATTTAAGGCTGAGTCGACCTCGCAGAAGTGCAGGACTCGTGCAGGTAATCATAGCTGGTTTCAGCTGTGAGCGGAAATCAAACTCGAGTTGCTGGGTTCGTAGAAAAGAGTGCTAACCACTCGACTACTGCTACCCATAACATTCCAACACACGAAGACAAAGATCCTCAGTATAGTCTGAACAGACTATTTGGGCAAGTGCTGTTAGAGAGCACCTATGAATGCCGGCACGGCACACGAAGGGTTCGGTGGCCAACACCAGGCCCGGCCGCCTTTGTCTCCCAAGTGGCGATGTTTACACACCGCACCAGGTACTCATTTGAGGCTGAGTCGACCTAGGGGAGGCCCTGGACCGGTTCAGATAATCATCACAGGTGTTGGCCGTGAGCGGGAATTGAACTCATGTACCCTGGTTCATAGTGTAGTGCACTAACCGCTGCACTACCATTCCCCACAACATTCAAACACAGACACGCACACACAGGGCCGTGTATCTCGCTTCATCGGTCTGCCTTTTGCATTGTCCATCTCGTTTGCTCTATCTTATTTAATTATCTCTCTCGTTCGTTTCATACCCCCGTCGTCCCACATTTTGCCATCCATATGTCCCTCACAAGTAATCAAGCCAGTCGCTTGCTCCATTCAAAGGATTTCCCACTTTATTTTTAAACATACGCATTTTGTAAAGGAGAATGTTTAAACGCAATCCTCGTGTGTGGGCATCCTGGCACTGCTTTTGATTACCGGATTATATATCATGACAAGCATCTTTCAAAAAGTAAATAGCAGCAGGATGTTTAACAAATACATTATTTAGAATATTTCAGTTGGCCTCGTGGTTGTAGAGGCCTCCAGGGTACATAAGCATAGGTATTATTTTGACCGATACTATTTTTACAAAAGGATAATCTCTGCAAAGGAGCCAAACAAGCCACCGTGTGACCTCCTGGAATTGTAGATGCTGCCGCTGCAAACTAGAGAATTGAGTGCAATGTACTGCACATGGCAATTTCATTGGAATTCGAGTGTGCGATGTCACATGCACGTGACATCCTGTGTGCGTAATATTATACACTTTCACGTTGTGAATATGACTGGACATGAGGGCAAGTGGCTCGCTTGACAGAACTGTAAAACATGCATTGCTTCACCCTTAGGTATATACAGGCGAGCACTCCTGAATTTACATTTTGACAGGCCCACATTCAGCTTGACACTCCTTCTACTCAGACTTACAATCTCATGGTACAGTATATATACGATCCTAACTCGGCAATATAACTCAGCTAAAAAACCCTGTGAGATCATGTAATCTCAAGTGTGATAGATTTGCACTCACTGAAAGCAACAGAGATGTTGAATGGGATGTACACGTTGCCATCCTGTTGTTTGGGCCATTCCACAGTTTTCTCTGTGGGATCTCCAGCAATGTCCCCAGCCTTCAGTAAGATAACTCCACCAACTAAACAGAGAAGTAAAAACATTAGTGTTTAATAGGCACTGTCTCTTTTGCATATGTGTTAGTGGGAAGCCCTTAAGAAAATAAATATCGTACCGTATTCATTAAAAGATAATTAAGAAAGTGTCTGATATACCTAGTATGCATGACTATATTTGAAAACTAATGACAAAAACGTGTGGCTTGCATTTTGAGGTATATTATATACCTTAATTCAGCCAGGTGGCCCTATGAGAGTGTGTGATACATAATTTCCTAGGGGACAACTCATATCACACTATGTAAAATATGTTTATTCCTGGGTAGTGTTATTTTCCAATTGCTTATGCCTCAAAAGTATATAAAATGGCTACTATCCCCCACAAACTTTGCTTTTCATATTTTGCTTATGATTTTATACAAAAAGTGGTCAACAGAAGGTGACGAGTGGCAGTTCTCACTGTGACACTCGATGATACCCAAGGCATTCCTAACCTCCCTCAAAATTCAAACATTCATGATTCTCAGTCACAATATGGGGGCTCTAACACCTTTCCTTATACAATGTGGTCTAAATATATTTTTTATATACTTTGTGGACCATACACCTTACCATACAAAATTTGTACTGAACAGCTCGTCATATACTACATTCACAGAAGGTATTTAACCCTTGTGACTTGCAGATGGGATAGTAATGTTGCATCATTTAGTTTAGTACCAAGAACTAATAACGAACTCTTACCCATCCCTGAATCATTAATCGCCATGGCACTGGAGATTTTGGTTAGGAGATCCAGAAGTGGGATTCTTAAGTTGCGAGGTTTGGGAGAATCCATGATCTTAATGAGCAGCTCTGCAGATAAATAACAGCAATTGGGTTAAGACACTTCTGCACAGTCCACATTTACTCAAGTTGGAATTAAAAACATTATAACTTGAAAAACCTTTATGGGAGACACCATGTCAAAAGACAAGCCAGGCAGCCTTCACACAGATAATGTTGCTCGACTGATTATGAGTGATACATCTGTTGCTAAACCAGAGCTGTCTATAAGAATACATGGTATACACAACATGTGGTATACACACACAAGCAGATAAATAAACACATAGACTTTCTGTATTTTAATTTGATATGGCATTCTCTCTTAAGTGGATACATGTTTAGGAAGTATCAGATAAGTTGCAGCATTAATAATTTATTTTGTATTTGAAATTAGGTTTGTCAGTAAACTCAGGAAGAGGTTCCTTGGTGGGGCATGAGGAATGGAGTTTGGGAAACCCTGATCCGCACCATGGGTCCTCACCCCTCTGGTGTTTGCAGTCGTCCAAAAGAGCTGCAACTGCGTGTTACTGCACCCTGCGTTATTAGTCTTTGTGTTTAAGCAAAAAAATTATATAGAGCAGCTTGCTACTTGACCAGCAGGGAGAGATGGTACTAAAGTACAGAGACACTCTGCTGGATTTTAGTGTACGTGTCATACTTGTCAACCCCTTATCAGTGCCTACCTTATTACAGACCAATTCAAACTGTATTGGTCACCCCGTACCTTTATAAATCACAACGTTCATCCGACAAAGTTCCATCACAAGGGAGAAACTAAAAAAAAATGTGCCCGTATTGAAACGGCTGTATGCCGTGTGGATCTGAAAACTCAATTTCCTTGTACAATAATGCAAGTAAAACGTATGAGTTTACAGGTATGACATGTACACGAAGACACTGGTAGCCTGTCGCACCCCCCCCATGCTTCCTCAAACCCCAGTTGAGATCCCCTGATGTGGTTGTTCATGTTTCTGAGGTCTCTGAAAAGAGAAGTGCTGGCCCAGGCGATGGACAGGGATAGCACAAAAACCCAACCAGTTTCAGCCCCAGCCTGAAAATCTGAAAAAGTTTCGACCTTCATCAACGGCAGTCACACCCAGCTGCCCTCACAACTGCACATAAAGGTTGTCTGTTACACCTCCACTAAGGGGCAACAGCAGTGTGAAGAGCTGCACCTGTTGCCTCAGTCTGAGGCAACTACGTCATGAACTCAGAGCAGGTCTCAGCAGAGGCACGTCTGCTTGAAGAAATAAGAATACCTTCAATGAGTATTTGTAACGATGTCCTGTTAATCATGATGTTATAAGAAAATCAACAAAAATAGTGAGTACGGTAAGTCCTTGCTTGACGTGTGGTGTTCACACAATGTGTTTTCTCAATAACACGGTTCTTCCATCCGGGAACACTTTTCGCACAACGTGGAACGTGCACATTATAATGCAGTTTCTGAGTTGTCAAAGGCGTACTACTTTCTTGAGCTACGCGGCCGAGTGGTGTGGGGAGCGGTAGTGCAGTGTTTAGTGCGCTGCGCTACGAACCTGCGTAACCGGGGTTCATTTCCTGCTCACGGTCAACAGCAGTGACAATTAACTGAACTGGTCCTGGGCCTCCCCTAGGTTCAATGAGTACCTGGTGCTATGTATAAACATATCCACTAAGGTATGGTGTTGGCTACCCACCCCCTGGTGTGCCGTGCCAGCCTTTGTGTGCTCACTAACAGTACTTGCCCCCACAATCTCTTACAGGCTATAATGGGGATCTTTGTCTTTGACAGTACGCTGAATTATACAGTATGCGGTGCTGTACCCTCAGTTATTGTCCCTACACCTTCTGTGTGTGCGTTGTTCATCGCATCTCGCCAAACTTTATTGTTCCATTTATGGGGAAGTTGTTTTCGCTTAATGCGCTTTTTTTTCATGCGGAACTTTCAGTAATGCATCTACCACCATAAACGAGGACATACGATACATATAATAATTTAAAATATATGATAGAAATTGCCAAATTTATAATATTCTCCTTTGCCTTATTTATTATGAAGTCCCATCTCAATTTAACATCCAACATTGAAATAATAAGGGTGCCAATGAGACATCCCTCTGCTCATAAGATTTATATCATATGGAATGACAGCAGGCAAGTCTGAAGTAACATCGACTAGACCACAAGGTGTTGTTCAAATTGGCAACCGTCTTGCATTCAAACCCAGGGAAACGTTTAACCCTTCCACAAGTGGTACAATTCAGTTCATACCAGGGCCCCCATTCCCTTTGAAAGCCAGGTGCAGAGCAGCAGTCTCCTCCTCTGGACCATCAGCTGACAGCATTTCATGAAGGCACTCTAGACTTGTGATTGTAGATTCGTCAAAGCTGTGAACAAAGCAAACCACATGCAGCATTATGTTTTGCAAAACATTTGGTAATTTTTGTAAACATTAATGTACATGAGCAATTAATAAAAAAGTAATGAATAAACATATCTACATTTATTTATCCACGTGAATATTACATATTTGTATAATCCATCAACTATTGGGACTTCCAACACAATCTGTTTAAGTTATCAAACTCTGAACCAGGTATGGCCTCAAGATCTCATCAGCAGTCATGTTTGATTAAAATAGAAGTACTTGATTACCTGATGTTGCTGGAAAGAGCTCTCTGTCCATAAGACGGAGTAAATTTATATAAAGAACCACTTTTTCGTAAATTAGGGCAGCATTATGAAGAAAAATAACTCACCAATCATATCTGGCTACCCAGCAGTATTTATTATTTAACAAGCCTGCCAGCTGATGACACCCTGAAGGTCAACTCCAGTCTACAGTCTTCTTGTTTAAACATATGCTCCTGGAAGATATTGCTCTGAAAGTCCAGACTTTTACTTCATGTGGAGACACAATGAGATGTCTAATTATTCACTATTAGGGGTGCTGTGAATCCAACATGGCTGCTATTCAGCCATTTTCACATTTAGAATCTCGCCAAAAATGCAAAGCTGAATATTACCTGAGCCAAGTTAATTAACCAAATTACAGGTATCAAATCTGCATGCGATTAAGAAGGGCCTGGTTGTGAAATGCAGTTTTCTGAGTAGTCCACTTGAAACACTTTCTTGTATCTATACACGTTTACCTAAGATCTCTCTCCTCTCATGTTGTCTGAA